GCCAGTTCACCCCTGGGAGACTTTGACCGATTCTATTTGTCCCTTTTCAAATTGCACGGGAATCGATTTCTTCCCCCTCGGTAGGTTATTCTCTCCCTGATGTCTCCGTGCACAGACAGGTTTCAGTTGCATCTACCTGCTCCCAAAACCCCCAGGATCTATTTGTCCTGCAGTGGTCAATGATCTCCGCTGGACCGCCTTTGGCCGCCCCGAGTGCCTCGCACACGACCGCCGCAGCGGCTGCCATGATAATGAGTGAGTCCGAGGTGGGCCGAGCACATTAATCACCGAGGCTGGCGGCGTGTAGCGTGTGACAGATTATCCCGCCGTACACAAAGGACAGCAACAGTCAGTTCCAGTGGAGATAATGCGGCGTGTGAATGGGCTGAATGCAGGTATTGTCTGCGGGGCTTTCCAAATTAGATGTGCAAAATCCACAAAGTGATTTGCCGAGGTGAACTTCGGCAAGCAGCTGAGACTTTTTAAACCCTTTTGTTTTTCTTTTAAGATGCCACAGATTTAAGTTCCCCCTTCCTGAAGGTGAACAATTGCATTGTAGTTCTTTCCCCTTTTTCTTCACCTCAAAGGCACTTTTCTTCCCCTGTCTCTTATGACGGGGAAGGTAATTACACGTCTTCCTCTGCCTCTCTTTGAACGAAGAGGCTTTTGTGCTTTGCCCCGTCTTCCGGGGCCGGGGGGGGGGGGGGTCGTCCTCCACTGGCCCCCACGGCTCCCTGACCCTGTGGCTGCCGGCGACTCTGGCACCACCCGCCCTTCATTCTATTACTTGTCCCATAACCTCCAGGCATTTTTCACATAACTCTGCCGGTTAGGCACTAGAGTTATGACTGTCGGCTGCTTGAGTTTTTCTCGGGGATGTTCCGCCTAGGCGAGTTTGAGAAGATGCAGATTTTCCCGGGAAAAATCAATTGAGCTAAATTGCAGGTGTAGCCGGGTTAAAGCCGCTCAAGTCCACGCTGTGCGTTCTGGCATCCTTTTCCTTCACAGGTTTAACCCCCAGGCTGACCTTCCTCTGGACATTAAGCAGCTTAATTAGCAGAGCACTAGATGAAGAGCTGATTGGCATGAGCAATCTTCCAGCTGTTTGCCAGAGATCTCCCGCGCCGCCGTCCTTATTTTTGAGCTCTAAACCTATTCCTCACACATTTAGAGACGCGTGCTGCTGGCCTGAACACGCTTTTAACCAGCGGATGGACACTGACACCCCCTTGAGGATGTCCATAGTCACTGTCTCCTCTTGAAAACGCCTCAGAAGTTGTGAATTGCACATGTCTGGTTTAAGATCTCTGCTGCCACTTCAAATAGACAGGGACCCCGCTGGTGGTGTCTTTTCACTCGCATCTTCCCTCTTTTGTGGGCAGCCTGCAGCAGCACATCACTGCTCATTCAAAGTGCGGCTGAAATCTTTTCTGGCTGGAGCACCAACATATGTTGTGACAAAACGGGAAGCTTGAAGAAAATACCTATTTTGACAAGCTGGGACAGATGGAGGACACAATAACTACATGATAACACATTCAAACTGAGCAGAACAGAAGAAGTTTGTTTGCCTTTTACCGGTTTCTGTAGATTGAAACCTTTTCCCATGCAGAAACCAAAATAGTTTCAATACATTTGTGTGAAGTAATTAATTATCAACATATTCTATATACCAAGATATAAAAAAGGCACTGAGATTCCTATACAGGCTCTAGCCTTGTAAAGAATAGGGAGTGGATCTGAGGTTGGAACCCTGTGCCAAACAAAAGACTTGACCTTTCACCCTGATTTAAAGCACCCCAGCTTAAGTAAATTCCATCTGTCTCACACACACATGCACACACACACACACACACACACTGGCTCTTCCTCCATCCAGCTGATTCCAAATGCATTTCCAAATGCTTGATCTGTTAAATCCATGTTTCTTTGTGAGGCAGTTGGCTAATTGCTGTTAATATTAAGCAATTAAGGCCAATTTATTTCCCCCCCAGTGGATATTTTGTTCACAAATTGTTGCCGACTGGAGTCCCCAGTGAGCCCGATAATCAATGGCATCAAACCATAAACGGCCTCCAGCCACCAGAATGGCTCCATTATGCTGTTTATGAGGAAGATATGAAATATTACTAAGCCGACTGAAAACTCATATTTCTCCCTCCTCCGCCTGCCTGCGAAGGCTCCCACGAGCAGCTTTCCAGCAGTGTGAGTTTTTCATCGGTGATGGATTTTCACAAGTAATCAGCCTCAGATTAAATGTGACATGATAAATGTGTTTTACATAAAAAGAATCATTTACTTGGAAGGTTAAGGAGTCCACCACACCACATTATTGGGATGGATGCCGTGCCGTAGTTACTAAATAACCCATGACTAACTGTGCAGTCACTAAACTGTAACGCCTGCACAGCTGCCTGCCATTCAGTCACAAACCAAATAAAGAACTTTTCAGTACCATGCGGTCAGTATTTAAGTCTGTGATGACAGCTTGCTTCTCTGCCTTCCTAAATTGATACATCCCCGAAACACTGTTTACGGAAAGTAAAGGTAGATCCGATCCCCCAGATTAGTGAGAAATGATGTCAAACTTCTACATTTATGTCTTTGACTGTGTTCAGTTAGAACAATGAAACCAATCTCTGCGACATGATTATGGACCATTTAAAAAAAACCCAAACCACTCAGAAACCCTGTCAACCAGCTCAAGAAGAAGGTTTTACATCTCGTGCCTGGTTTCATTTGAGCAGAGAATTAGCAGGGGGCTCTGATTTCGCTGCATTGTAATCAATAAGCCGAGAAAAGCCATCAGGAATTCCCAGTATTTCAAAACAAAGTAATGATACAGTTCTCAAACCCTGCGTCATTACACACACACACACACACATGTTGCACTCATTATTTTCCTATCCTTGCATTCTTCTGGCCGTTTCATTCCAGCTCAGCTGCTGGATTAGATTAGCAATGGGCATGAGTCTCTTATCGGTGTTTTATTTTTCACTGCAATGTGACCTTCATCTTCCTTTTGCAGCTTCTGCATTCATGTAGAAGGAAAATATGTGAGGAAAAAAAACACTTTAAGATGTCTGCATGAGTCTGCATTTGGCCCTGCAGAGCAGAGCTCATTGGATCCTAAATGGAGCATGATTAGGGGTCAGGCAATTTGGCCGTGTGGAATTAGACGCAGCACCTGCTCTGAATGAATATGCATCCCAGTGGCCCCTGCCTGCTCTCTCTTTTCATAGCTCCCCGTCTTTCCAGGCGTTGTGTTGACCAAACTTTTTGCTAGCTGCATTTATCGGCGGACAAAAGCCTTTGAGAGGATCTCAGACTAAGCCACTAGACTAGAGCCATTGTGTTGGTGTTTAGCCCTGGTGAGCGCCGCTCGCATTGTGCCCCCCCGAGCTGACATCTCTATGTCAAACAGCAGGCTGATGGAGGGCTACTCCACAGCTGCTCATACAGCATGGCGTGGACATGGCTTTGAATAAATATTCAGACCAGAAGAACCCAATCGAGCATTCTGGGTAATAGCACCATAGAGCTTTTCCCCGCAGGTTAGCTGTGACGTGTCCCCGGACACCAGCGATATTCTGAGGTTGCTCGGATGTAAACAGCAGGCTCCGGAGAGAGCCAGGGAGCAGCTTCTGGAAGGGTTCCGTCCAGCTCTGGTTCTGTGTTGTGTCCTGCGGTTTTTTAATGGGTCCAGTTTGACTGCGCGACCACAGTTATGTGAACCAGACAAATGGAGGCATGCATGTTTTTAGACCGACGGCGGTCTCAAGTTTGTCTCTGCTGGGTTAGGACTTAGTCACAACAGTTTGAGAAACCCTTAATTCCGGGGGAAGCTTTTGTCATATTATTCTGCCTTAATTGGCCGCCGATCAAAAAACGGGGGCCTTGCTGGCGCCTCAGAGTCCATCAAACAGATTGGACGTGTCACTGACTCTGTTTCTCCCCTGTTGTCCCCCCCCCCCCCCCCCCCACCTCTCCTCACTCTTTTTTTCCCTTTTCCTTCCTCACACACATAGAGGCACCAACACTTTTTGCCTGCCCAGTTGCTGGCTGCCTCCACGGCCTCCTCCTGGGGTCATTGTGGTATTTAGGGTCAGACAAGAGCTCCAGTCATTGCGCCCTCCCCAGTGCCTCCCAGGCAAGTGCTGCGGTCATTACACGCCAACTTGTCTCGCCCAATCTCCTCAGGCTGCTCTGAAAAAAACGGCCTTGGCTGCAGCGGACCTTGCATCTCCTCCTCCCAGCCAACGGAAAAGCTGGATGCTGGAAAAACGGGCTGTTGACTTCGCGGAGCCTTTTTTTTAATTTTTGCCGCGGACGTTCGAGAGCTATAAAACATCTCATCCCCGCTTTCCGAGAGAGCTCCTCTGTTGAGAACTTTTTTCCTCCCCGCTCTCTGGCTTTTTCCTCTTGGCGCTCCTCTACCCGGAGTCACCCTGGGAGGATTGTGATTCGCTGCTCCGCCAAAGCCGGGAGGGAGTTTCCACGTGTCCACCAGTGTGTGCGAGCGTGTGTGAGTCAGATGCGGTGTCTGTGTGTTGCCTTAAGACTCTGCGAGCAGTGGCAGGGAGAGTCCACTTTGAGATTCAGAGGACTCCAGCTAGATTTCTGCTTTGTGAGCTCTTCAAAGAGCTTTTAGATTAAAGCTCGGGCCACAGAGGTAAGGCATGCCGTGGACTTTGTGTTTTTATCTTTCCTTCCCTTTGTTTCTCCTATTTTACTGGATTAAGAGGAGGCTGTGGCTGTTTCCTGTGGCCCAGGTGCACAGGTGTGGGGTCCACTGGGAGTTTACCTTTGTGCGAGTGCTGTTTATTTCCCAGCTGGATCTGCTAGATATCACTTTCTATCATCTCCTGTGGCGCGTTGCCTTGAAAGGGCAGATAAGCGAAAAGCTTTCAAAGTTCAACCGTAATCACTTTTGCTGATATGTCTCAAGGTTCTAAGTTTTTTTCTGCTGTGTTTGATAAACATACTGTCTTGTCTAAACTTTATCTAAATGGTCTTTGCGGCTCCATGGTGGCGAGCGCGTCGTTTGGCAATTTTTGGAAACGGTTTTGTTTCCTTGGCATTGCTCACAGGTGGTGTTGGCATACGTGTGTTAGAGTTTCTGAGAGCTGCCATGTCACTGCTGGTCCACAGCCAGAGGCAGAGCCTCTAAAAGCATAGTGAACAAATCTGAAAGACACTTAACAAGCACTCTGATGGATGCTTGGTGGCTTTGGCTACATCCAGCACGCAATAATACAAGTGATTCATGCTTAGAATTTCCTCCTCATAAGCAAACAACCGCGGGCCGCTTTAGATCTTGCTCATGTGACAGAAACTCAGGAGGCGATGGCCTGGTCTTTGGCTCCACCAAGACAATCTTCTGTCCCTCACTTCCTGTTGTTCGGCGGCTGGACTGTATCACGGGATATTTCACATTGGTTTGAACAGAGGTTTTAAGTTTCCAAGCTTCAGGCTCTCTGTTCCTTTAAGACCTGGGTTGACGCAGTGCCGGAGAAAAGTGATAAGAGACTCGTGTCAGGAGCTGGGATTTGACAGGAAGGCAGGTTGATTCGGTTAGCAGCCCTTACCGAAAACAAATGAGCTCATAGCACTTAGGCGGTATTGTAATTCAAAAAGCATGAAATCTTATTAATACCTTATTCTGTGCTAGATCTCTTCCACCACTCCTTTTCCGTTTGCATTTCTGATGACATTTTCTACTTTAAACCGCACATTAACCATGTGCTTTTTGTCAAGCCACACAGAAAAACCCAACGCTTCTATCTAGATTTTACAGCAGAGTAGGTTGGAAAAATGCACAAACAGCATCGTGATTATGCTGTGTGGATTCAATCTCAGGAGAACTGGCTTGTTTTTCACACTGCTGTGTCGATAGTTTGTGGATCCTGCTGTCTTCATCAAGTTTAAAGCCAAAGGCACGAGGGTCAGGCCGTTGGCGCCCAGGTGGGCTTGGGAAACTGTCTGAGGTCTGTGGCCGCCGTTCAACAAACGCACGGTGGTCCTCGTGGAGGAAACAGACGGCTACGTCCTCAACGCCTTGTGCATCCTCCTTGTGTTTATGCCACGCCGAGGTGTAACCCGTTCCACGCCGGGATCCCAGACCGGAGACACACACGCTGTCAGACTAAACAGGAAGCCCGGGCAGGAGTTATCCAGGGGCAGGGCCAGAAGAATGCCAGGTCATGGGGTGTGCCGGGGTGCTCCGGGGTGGCAGTGCTCCCCTGGCCTTGGAGCAGATGGCCCGTACGAAGGCTTTTGACGAGAGCAGAGGCCCCACGGGGGGAGAGGGTGGGGGGAGAGTTCAAGGCTGGGCGCAGTGCTTTGCAGCTAAAAGGAAGACTTGTCTTGTTGTTCTCTAAAAACAGTGGAACAATACGCCAGTTTAGCTCGCAGCAGAAGGCAAACGTGTGTGTGTGTGTGTCTTTGGGTTTGTGCGTTGGCACGCCTTTAAACCTTTCATACGCGGAGCCTGGCTTTGCCTGAATAAACTTTTTAAGAAAACCGTCAGTTGTGGCGCTGAAAGAAAGCAGCCACTGTGACAAGTTCGACAACCAGCTTTATGTCGACTCCTGGTGTCGTCAGCAGCTGCTTCCTCAGTCTGTATTCAAGAAAGAGAATTGTTTAGTTCTCCCCATTCATGATGAGGCATTTTGAGCCAGTTTGCCTTTGCTTTCTAGCCTCCGGATGTGAGAGGGATATTTTTCTTCTGAACTTGGATCATTGGAAGGTGGTGACATTTCGGAAAACGGGGCATACTTTCAGACTAGACTGCTTACTTTTTGTCAGCTTAATGGAGGGAATGAAAAAGTTTAGCCATGGACCAGTCCAATTCAGATGCCAGCGCCACTCATTCAGACTCATGTTGTCCCTCTTTTTCATTTCTCAATCTTACACTCCAGGGTTCCCTGGCACATAATGAGCTTCTGATTTTTCTAATCCCCCCGGAACTTCCTGCTCAAATTCACCAACCGACGCTTCTAAAGAAAGTTTTGCTGCGTCAGCGCGCTTTAACCTCACCTCGCAAGTCTGGGTGCAGCGAAGCAGAAACAGTTAAACTGTAACGCCCGGGGTCGCTCCGTCCTGAGGCCTGGGGCTGTAGGCAGGGGGGCTATTTACACTGTAACCTTACACATGCTGTAGGTGCGGGGCGAAGCTTAGCCAGGTTAGTGCTATTTGAAAGCCCGTGTTGGTGGCTTACATTACACACACGCCTGGTCCCTCCACAGGCGAGCCCTCCTCTCAGTTTTTGGCAATGAATAGTTGAGTGGGGGGAAAAATGGAGCGAGCAAGGGCTCCAAGGTTTAAAAATAAACAGCCGGGTAAACTGTCTTTGAATAAAGAAGAAAAAAAGTTTCCCAAACCCAGTGAAAGACTACGTCATTTACTTGTGGGGAGGTGGAAAAATGCAACATATGTTTGGTTTGGAAGGCCGTTGGAGGAGCGTTAGCTTTCATCCCGCTCAGAGTGAGTGTTGTACTGTGCTGCATGAAGCTTAGCCGGGCTGAAATTCACCGCACTCAATTTGCGTTTGACTTTACACAAAACATTTTGTCTCTGCGGGCCCTGGCTTAATTTTTTTTTGGTGCACGGCCCAGAAAAAGTAAAATTTTTCTTTTAGTTGGTGTTCAGCTGATTTCAACTTATTTATCTCTGAAGAAAACAAGTGCCAAAAGAGTTGGGAATTAAGCCTGCTCTTTGATTAGAACACCTGTTATCAAGCATGGAGCTCATTACAGCCAATAAATTACAGTGTGGGGGTGGAGAGAAAGCCTAAATTGAGTTTTTTCTGTGTATTTCAGGTGACGGAGGAATGAGGCGCATTTAGGAGCCCCGCTCAGAGAGAGAAGAGGCTTTAAGAGAGGTGATGCACACTGTCATTAGTATGCCCCGCTCGTTCTCTTCTCACTGTAGTATTTCAGTTTCAGTGGCCGTTAGTGGGACCTTACATGGCCGTTAGCCATCCCAGCCACATGTTTGCAAAAGGTCCCATTTAGTTCCCTAATCTGCTTGCTGAGCCAATTCAAAGAGTGGAAGTCTGTTGAAGGCTTTAACTCGCAACGGTTACGTAATGGCCCCCAGGAGGACGCAGCAAACAGACTCCCTGCAGTTTACGATCGTAGCTCCATATTGAAACGCTGGTCCGGTCATGGTGCCCCGGTCTGGAAGGGATATTTCAACGTCCCGAGAATTGTCACACATAACAGCCATGACCACCTAAAGCCTATTCATCTCACTTGGATTCTCTGTAGACAGAGTGTCGTAAAATGAGTGAAACCGGACCGTTAATCACCAGATGTGATTGGATTTAGGTTTTGCTGTTGTCTTTGAAATGCATGCGGAAGATATTAGACTCGCTTCTACACGGGTCGTACTTTTTAAATAGTTGTGTAAGTGAATTATGTAAAACTCAGATCATTGTTTTACAGTACTGACTTTAGTTTAAAACATTTTTTAATGAATAAATGTCAAGCTGATACATTCTTTTTTCCCCCTCAATTGCTATTGAATTAATGTTTTTTTTCTTTGTATTTTTCCAGACCAGCATGGGAAACTCAGAGAGCCAGTACAGCATTGAGGGTCCAAAAAGCACAAACTCCATCTTTCCTGGGAAGCAGAAGCCGTACGCGCTGAAGCCCCGTTCAGCCAGAGACGACGTCCTGTCCCCACACACGTGGTGGAAGAACACTGCGGCCGGCTCGGGGTACAAAGCCAGGTGTGTCGGCCGCGGCTGTCTGTCCCCTCCTAAAAGTCGGCCGCCTTACTCTGCCCAGCGCTGTGACTATGTCTCCAAAGGGGCCCGGGGCAGCCCGGCCGAGCACCACTGGCACCGGTCCCCCGGCTGCGGCATACGCAAGCGGCACATGTCGGACGCATACGAAGAGAATCCATACGGGACGGAGCTCAGTGGAAGTGGATGCAGCGACGAGCACAAGGTTTTAGACGAGCAAAGCAGTCCCAGGGTGGTGATCAAGAAGGATGGTACCCTCAGGGTGGAGTTCACCAACACCTCAGGCGGCCCCCTCCTCCTGGGTGAGGCCTCTGGCCCCGTCCAGCTCCTCAAATTTTCTCCAAATCTGGAGTCCGCTTCCACTCCCAGCCTGCCCGGTTCCAGCGGCAGTCGGCAGGACGACCACCGCGGCGGCCCGCCGCCGCCAGCCTCTACCTCCTCCACAGCCAGAACCAGCAAGGGCAGCTCCCTGAGCTCCGAGGGCTCGTGGTACGACTCCCCGTGGGGACCCAGCACAGAGCTCGCCGAGCAGGACCAGGCCTGCTCCGCCAGCAGGACGTTGGTGGACTCCCCCGTTCGGCAACTGGAATCCTTTGCTGAGCAGTGTCCCATGTCCATCGCAGACCTTTACAGGGACCCGGCGATGGCGGCCACCTTTCCTACGGGGAGGGACCTGTCCTCCCAGTTGCTAGAGGCCTCACCGAGCCAGAGGTCCCACCGGGCCTCCTTCGCCGCCGTGCTGGACGGTCCTCTAGAGGAGGAGTGCTCAGAGCCCCGCCAGTACTCGTCCTACACTCTGCCCTGCCGCAGGGCCAAAGCCCACACCGTCACCGAGGAGCTGGACCAGTACCAGGACCAGAAGCAGGACCGGGAGCCGGCCGGACACGAGTTTGGCCCCCATAAAAAAGGCTCCATCAAAAACCGCATGAGACGCTTCAGTGACTGGACGGGCAGCCTCAGCCGCAAGAAGAGGAAGTCTCAGGTGAGTTTACTGCCAGCGCTCAGGCTGTTGTGTGGAAAACAATAGCCGGACCGGTGAGCTTCCACAGCCAGGCCTAGACGTAAGCAGCTTCCTGTCTGGCTAATTTGATGTTATTTAGAGCCACAGTGGTTGTCCTGGCACGGCTGGGAACCAACCACCGTCCTCCGGGCCGATTGCACCACAACACCAGCTGTCTGAGGACAGGGCACAGTGGGGTGGCACAAAATGAAATTTGTCAGGCAGCCAGTGAGGAGTCTTGTTGTTTTGTGGTGATGGAACAAGGATGGGAGTGCCTTCTAATACAAAGCCAGACATGGACGATGCTCAGAAGGAGCCGAGTCGGGGACTGCTAATCAGACGTCACGATGGGACTTTCTGGGTGGGTAAATCTGAAACATTGTTGCATCCTGCCTGTGGATAATTGGGGGGTGCGTAAGGCATGCAAAAGGCTTAAGCTTCTGCGTGTACATGGGGGCTGTGAGTGTGCTGGTCGCACTGAATGCTTTTCCAGATATCTGATAATTAGATTTTGATTTGAAATATTTCAGCCAAAATGAAATTAGAGAAGAGTGGACAGATTTTAAGAATATTTGACATCCCAGGAGTAAGGAGATGCTTGCATCGGACAAAGAGGGATCAGGAGTGCTTTTAGAAATAATTTTAGCTGGTCCGCGTGTCATGTGACTTTTTTCTGGACAAACGCTTTGCATTCTACACTCTTAAATTTGACAGAGGTCGTGTGTTTAAGTTGAGTCTGACCCCACGCCCCTCTCTGTTTTTGTTTTGTTTCTGCATTAATTTTTGGGATTAATTTTGCTCTGCCTTGTACAAGTTTAAAGAATGCTGTTTGGGTACTGCCAAGAGGATGTCTGTAAGCCTTTAAGAGGCTCTGTAGAGCGAAACTAAATCCCAGCTGAAGATTTAACCCCACCCTTCTCTAATGTTAATGAATGACTTATGGTTGTTCTAGTTGTTGTGCGCAGATCTTCTGGGCTCCTCTCACGTTCCTTGGAAAGTAAATCTGCTAATAGGGATTTGTGCTCAGTCACTCGAGTCTTGCAGCAAAACAAAGAGCGAATGGAACAATTACGGTATTCAGAGGGCATTTTATTTTTATGCCAGCTTAAAGTTTTTGTGAGCCTCCTTTTGTTTTCAAACGGCAGACAATCTTAAGTGAAATAGTGGAGCTCTCCGGCACCTGACCCTGCAGTTGCAAAGGCAGGTTCAGCTGACAGTGCCTATTAATTTATCCTCCTAAATCTCTTTCTGTGATTTATGGCCACGTGTTGTTGCTTTAGTGGTCCTGCTTGGATCTATAGATTGATTTTTATTTTTACCCGGTGAGAAATAAAGTGAGCACAAAGCTCTTTCTATCTGAAGAAATAATCAAGAAAAACTAAGAAAAATCCATTGCAAGTCTATTCAGTATTGTTATGCCTCTTGGCTGTAGAAATAAGCCCTTACTTGACTCACTTGGGAGTAATTCAGACTGAACGGAACAGATCATCCCTGAGCATCTTGTCTCTCGTTTGAAATGACTGATGAGCCTCGGGAATGAATTTATTTTACAGTTTAAGGAGCACTCTGTTGTACTGTGCCGGTGACAGTTACTCTGTTCACCAGGTCAGCCAAACCAGGGAGCGCCTCCAATTTCTGGACTGACAGGTCAAACTATGACCCTAATGCCAGAGACCGAGAACCTCCTGGTAATGATAAGCAGCTGCAAAAAGAAGGGGCTGAGTTAGCGGGTGGCTGTTTTTCAGAACGGTCAAGCAAATCTGACTTTTAATGCGTTCTTCAGGGTCTGGAAATTCAAGATGAGCTCTGAGCCATCTTTGCCACAGCATGAGAGATAGAATATGTGTGGGAATATGTGAAAACTGAACGTGGAAGTGGTAATAAATATGGATAGCGATGGAGAAGGCGCAGACACAGTGAAACGCACGAACAGAATAAAAGATGGCGAAGGAGCTCCGGCATGACAGCGCACGCTGTGCGTCTGCGTGCTGAGAGTGCTTCACTCCACCGCCAGCGGCAGAATCGATGCTGCAATCCAGACAAGTGTAGGTCGGCTGTCATTAGGGATGAAAGGCTGCAATTCCATCAAGTGTTCATTTGGGGAATTGGAAAACCAAATCAGACCTCAAATGACGTGAAATTGTCTGAGCCGGGAGGGTTCCATCCTCTCAGGTGTCATCACGGGAGATTTGTCCCACTTTCTCAATTTGATGCAAAAAAAAAAGGGAGTAACTTTGATGTAGATTGATGTGGTTTGGCTAGACTTTTTAAGAGTTTTGCGGAGCCTCAAGGACCATTTGAATTCTGTCCCAAACTCAGGAGGGCTCACTTTATTCTGAACATATGGAGACAGATGGGATGTGTTCTGTTCAAATGCAGCAATTTTAAGACATTCAGAAATGAAGCAAACCAGTTGGTTTGACTTGTATGTGATCTGAGGGTTATTTGCTGCCGGCTGAAGTTTCGTCCCACGGCCTGTGCCTCATCAGGAGACGAGATACAAGGACCTGAGCGATGCCTTCGACAGCGGGGTGGATGGCCTGACGGCAGACACCAGCTCCCCCTCCCAAGTCTCCAGCCTCCTGTGGATCCCCGGGGCCTCCCGGGCTCAGTCCTCCGGAGCCATCCACCAGACGACCAACGACGCCGTCCGCCAGAACATCTACGAGAACTTCATGAGGGAGCTGGACATGGGCGCCGGACAGGGGGGAGGCGAGAGGGGAGACCCGTCCACGGGCACCGAGGAGGGCGAGAGCAGCAGCGAGTCGGCCGAGGGCTCCCTGGAGCAGCTGGACCTGCTGTTCGAGAAGGAGCAGGGCGTCGTGAGGCGGGCCGGCTGGCTCTCCTTTAAGCCCCTGGTAACCCTGCACAAGGACAGAAAGCTGGAGCTGGTGACCCGCCGGAAGTGGAAGCAGTTCTGGGTGACCCTGAAAGGTGAGCTTACATCTCCTGTCTCTGTAACGCAGCCGCACTGACTCGTGGTTTAAAATCATTTAAAGGCTGAGTAGATTTTCTGTTTAGGAATTTAGTCTAGACGCTGCTTACATATGACATTCACTGACTCTCCACATTTCTTCAGATGCTCTCTGACAATTAATAATTATGTTGCGGACGGTGTACCATTTAGAGTTAAAGATCTTTCAATCCATTTCTCCGCTGTCTTTTTTTCAGGGTGTACGTTACTCTTCTTTGAAACGTACGGTAAAGGCCCCCCGGAGCAGGAGCTGTCGCCCCGCTACGCCCTCCTGGCAGAGGACAGCATCGTCCAGGCTGTCCCTGAGCACCCCAAGAGGGAAAACGTCTTCTGCCTGAGCAACTCGTTTGGGGACGTCTACCTCTTCCAGGTGAGAGCCGCCTGCTGGCACGCTGCTCACACCCCGTGCATCGTTCCAATCATTATTTTCACGCATTACACTGAAAAGCAAACATAACGGCGCTCTGAGCGGACCGGTGCTCAGCAACTGGATGGCGGCACACATATTCCTGCACTGCTTTCTCTGCACTCTTGCAGACGAAATAACCAATTTCCACAAGGTACACAAACTGTCCAGCAAGGGGATTGGAGAGCACGCGCCTGCTGACCTACATGTTCTGACCAAAATCACGCCCAGACTGGGTTTCATCAGTTTCCCTCACATGGCTGGCTGAACACGATTAATTGCTATTTACCAGAAACTCCAATTGAATTCTCAACCGAGATATTGCCTTGGCGTGAACAGCTGTAATCATGACATAGCTTTAAAGAAGAAATTTATGTTCACGTTCACCTGATAAAAACGAACACTAGAATGCTATAACAGCAGTTGGAGCATTCTAGCGTTGCGCTGGCAATTCGAGGAGGTTTCTAAATCCAGCGGCTAAATCAAATGCTGGCTTTGCCACTCCAATTAATCCCTGCCTGTCTTTGACCTTCAGGCCAGCAACCAGACCGACCTGGAGAACTGGGTGACGGCCATCCACTCTGCCAGCGCCTCGCTGCTGGCCAAGCGCCAGGGGAAGGAGGACACGGTGCGCCTGCTGCGGAGCCAGGTCCGCGGCCTGCTGCAGAAGATCGACATGGACGGCAAGATGAAGAAGATGGCCGAGCTGCAGCTGACGGTCGTCAGCGACCCAAAGAACCGCAAAGCTATCGAGAATCAGGTGAGGAACGACGGGCCGTAAAACAGCGGCCGCGTGGGGAGCATCGGAGGGGCTTGTGGCGCGGTGTGCGTTGAATTTTAAAAGTCCTCCGCGTGCAGTTATTCCCAACCACAACCACATCATCTGCCCTACTTAATTCTCCTGAATCGGCGGCTGCGGTGACACCCCGGCGCTTTATTTCCGTCTGTGGGTGGGTGAAATGGCCTAAATGCATCAGTCCCCAAATGCGTCGTGAGGGGCCCAGGGGAGCTGCTCGTTCCCCGAGCATCAGATTGGGATTCCAGATGTTTCCTGGTAATGGGCTCTCAACATGCATTATCCTGTTCCTCCTCGTCGCAGCCTGGGGGGGATCCAAAGCACTCAGCACCGTGCCGTAACCTACATACAGCAGATTACAGATGGCCAGAAACAGACATATAACACAGCAGTAGTTGCCCGATGTGAGAAAATCCAACTTTATCTTGAACCATGATCTTGTGTGGCAATGACTAAGGTGACTCATGGTTTCACGTCCCTTTTTTTACACAAAGGACTGCATTTGATGCGCGTCTCTGAAGGATTCAGTCTAATTTAAACGCGCCCTAAGTGGAAATGATGATTGCTGGAAAACTCAACGAAACAGTGACCAAATAGAGATGTCACTGCCTGACTACCACACTGACTGTGCTCCTGTGTCTGTTTCCACTTATCCGGCATGCCACCTCAGAGAGACAGACGGGGCTGGAGTGAATGATAGGGTCAGAGGCGGTACGGGACAGGACTCTGATACAGGCGCCTTCAGGCTGATGATAGATTTAAGGTTTCGGTGGGGTTGTCTAGCACCAGCAGGGCACTACTTTGATGTCCCTTCCTACCCCCACCCTTTTTCTACTGAAATCAGTGCCAGTAGACCTTGTTTGATGTCTGCCTTTGGCTGCTGCATGCAGGCCGGCTCATGTTCAGTCATACGCACACACAACGTGATCAAGTTGCATTGACTTATTGTGCATCAGGGCTTTTCCAGGGAGCAAACAACAGATGTAAAACTGGGGGGGGGGGGTAAGAAAAGATGAGAATCTGTTTAAAGAAAGGGTTTTTCTCAGCTTAATGGCTCTAAATGTATGTAAATAAGTTCTGCATGCAGGCCAGATGGGCCTACACACTGATGTTGGCCCATTGTTTCGCTGCACCGATTCAACATGCAAAGACTCACAAGGAAAGCCGAAGAGCAGCGCCAGCCACAAAAAAAAAAAACATGTTTACCACCGTTTTTTCCCCCCTTGCCTGAATCATCAAATCAAATTTTACGCACAGGACTATTTCAGTCGATCCCTAAACGAAGGCACAGATATTTGATTGTTGACGCTGGAATCCAGATGGCGCGTGGAGGATTTTGTGCTGTGTAGTCAGAGAGGCATGAATTTAACTCCTCTAAATTTGTCTTTGCTTTTGACTACGGAGCTCCTCTGATGTAGTCAGTGCCTCCTCTTCTAAAGTCACCTTCATACTACTCACTTGAAAAAGCAAAATGGGATATTAAAGAGCTTTAAGGTGATGAAACACCGAGATGTGGACAACATTTTGTAATGGATTTCTCACTTATGATTCATTTCTCCAGATAGTTCTCCTTCCAAGTTGAAGCGTATTTTTAACAAAGAATTGCACATTCCAAGCTGCTTTCATAACAGTCCGGCTCTACAATGGGAATCTCTACGTGTTTCTGACTCGAGGCTTGTTAACTGAGGCCACCTGTAGTTGCATACAGAGTGTATTAGTCCCAGAGTAATTTCTCTGCAAGTCTTTGTTTAAGATGTTCATAAAATGCCACCCGTGGGCCCTTTTGCAGTTTGTTCCTAATCCCAAAGAATGAAGTCGACGGGAATGAAACCTAATGGGACGACGCCATAGGGTGTGTTATTATAAATGGACTTTCCGCACAGACGAGACCTATTAAAGCCAGTTGTTATGGAGGGTTGTTTAACTTGAGGATACCCATTATAGCCAGTCGCCAGCCAACAAAATAAGCACTTTGTTGTAGGTTCATAGTGCAAACGGGGATAGGGGAAAGCAGCTGTGTACTGGGTGAGAGTGGGAGTGCGACGGGTGGTCTGCTCAGCGTCGCCGGCATCTCAGGACCTGCATGGAAAGGAATGCGCGTTTGGATTTACTGCGCACACATACAAACGCACTTCTGTGAGCTATGCAGTCATCTGTCACTATCAAACCTCCACCGAGCCACGCTCTGCTCTCACCCAACATCTGCAAGCAATCGCCACATGAATGGAAGGACTGGCCTGACCCTGGATCATCCCCTTTGATTTCCAACCACCCTCCTCCTCCATTTAGTCCCCCCCCCCCACACACACATTTGGTCGGGCCCCGTGGAAACGCTCTAATGATTTAGCGTCCGCTCTCCTCCACCAGATCCAGCAGTGGGAGCAGAACCTGGAGCGGTTCAACATGGACCTCTTCAGGATGCGCTGCTACCTTGCCAGTCTGCAGGGGGGGGAGCTGCCCAACCCCAAGAGCCTGCTGGCCATCGCCAGCCGTCCCACCAAAACCACCCTGGGACGCCTGGGGATTTTTTCCGTGTCCTCCTTCCACGCTCTGGTAAGGAAGCTCAGGCCAGACTCCGGAAACCAGCGCTGTGTCCTGTACTGACTGTTTTCATACGTAACGCTGTACTCGATGTGTGACGGTAACTTTGCAAACCTTTTAATCTTTTACATGTCCTGTAAACATTCTCTGTGAGCAACGATCGGTAACGCTAAACGTATTGAGGCGGTTTGATTAGATGTGATGTTTTCTGTTGATTGCGGTCCTGATGTGGCGTCTCCTCTCAGATCTGTTCCAGAGACGAGGCCATGGTGAGGCGCCGCTCTTTGTCCCTGACTTGCAGACAGCGCAAGAGAGGCCTGTTTTCCTCTCTCAAAGGCCTCGACAACTTCACTAAGAGGGGTCGGGAGAAAAGGCCCTCTGCGTCTCAGGTATGACCATGCACCCGCATAAACAGGTCCCCGTCTGGGGACTTTTTCCTGTACTTTTAGTGCAACACAAAGAGCCATGAGATGCCACTTTAAGCAGCAGACTTCAGTCAAGGCTGGGAAAAAATAAAAATACTGAAACCGACAGGCAAGAAAAGCCCCGTTTCGAAGTTGGGCCACGCCTCACCTCAGATCGAATTCCCAAATGCAAATCCACCCCTAATTATACAAAATCCTGTTAAACGTGCAAACAAGCCTGAAAAAACACTTACCGTCTTCTGCAGAGGTCCTGAAATGGTAATATGGGGAACATAATGAACTCCATTCCAGGATCTTTCCGTCCTTGTCAACGTTGAGAGCTCGACAGCATTGCTCAGGCCTTGAGGTGACACTAAGTAATCTCCACTGAATTCCAGAGTAATGAAACACTTCAGGGGGTCTGGATTAGCAGGTCCTTAATGCAGGATCGCCCACCTCATGCATTCAGCAGCCAGAGGAACCCTTCCCAGAGTGTGTGCGTGTGGGTGCGGATACTGTTGACACACACTGTGTGTATAGGCGGGCGCTCTCCGGGGACGCGGAGCTCATTTCTGATGCTCGGCGCGCACGAGGCGTGTTTGTCGATGAAATAACCTTAAGCCGGGTTTGGATTGCGCTGACTCCGGCGCACTTCGTGTGTGTCGACATGAAAGAAAGGAAGAGATTGTTAAGATCGCGCCGCACTCTCAACGCATCCCACCCTCAAGAGAGTTTTTATTAATTAAAAGCACAAAAGCTGACATCCCTCCTGCTTTGCGGCGGGTTTGAGTTCTGCCCTCTGATCAGCACAGACGCTGGGGAACATTCCACCCCCAGGTGCAGAGGGGCAACTCTGAAGCCTCTCAGGTTTGTAATTAGGCTCGTGCGGGCCGGGCTGCTTGTTTATCAACGCGGAAATCCAGCGCTCTGCTCTGAAGGCAGAGCCCTGGAGAATACTCAGGAAACGCTCATTTACTCGAGTCCTTCCAGTACTTGAGACGCTAGAAAGCCAGTGGCGTGTCTTCCTGCCCTGACCCCAGTCTGGTTTTAAGGCTAACAGCCACGAGTTAGTCATCAATCGGTGATTCCCTGATGCCTGACTCCGTACTAAACGCTCCCCGCCCCTCGCCCAACTCCGCACCGTCCCGCCACCTGCTCTCTCATTTTTATTTTTGCGCTCGTGCACGTCTGCCGGCATGCAGGTATATGCATGCACGTGGTGTTATTTAGTTGGGGGTATCCAGCCGGCCTGCCTAATGAGACATGGTTCCATCGGGCGGTGCAGGAGGCCGAGGTGGCGCTGCAGCGCAGGCATGAATTATTAAAAGCCATATGTGGTAGATGGCATTCTCTCCTCAGCCCCGCAGATCCCGGCAGATGGCTGGTGTAAGGATGCTAAATATTAAACGGCCTCCTTTTATTTTCTGCCCCCTGGTTTTTTTCTTTTCTGACTCGCTGTTTTTAGTGTTTTACTGGTCTTTTTTGCCTTTACTCGTAGGCTAATAAGGGGCAATTAATGGTTGCTAAAGGCTTGGAGGGATTTTCAGACTGCTGGGTTTTCCTGGACATCTGCTGTTTTTTTTTTATTTATTTTGTCGTGTTTTTTTGTTTTTTTTATTTGAGGGGGAGATCTCAACCATTTTACATTTCTTTTACTCTGAGGGGAAATTTATTTGTGGCAGGTTTGAATTGAATCATCACCTTGTTGGCTGCCTTCCTGTGGCTCTGACAGGAGACACTTCTTTGCTTTTGGAGGACAGCAAAGCTGTGTCAGAAGCCAAGCTGTCTTCCGTGCTATTTCTCACGTCATCCTATTCTTCTTTTTTTTTTTTAAGCTTCCCTGACTCTTGCCCTTCGTTTGTCCCCTTTACCCCGGCTGAAACAGACAAATTTTCAGCTCCCTTTTTTAATCCCTTAAACCTGGCACTTCATCGTAGTCTTGCCTTCAGTTCCTCTCGGCATTAGTCCTCCCTCTCAAACTGTTTCTCAGAGCTCAAACATCTGAGCACTACCCAGCAGTCCTTCTCCCACATTTTCCATACTGACTCATCTGTGTTGACTAAGCCTAAATCAGTTTACCGCTGCTACGTTGTGCTTGAGAACCTTGCCCCAAAGTCATGCCCCCACCAATCAGCAGCCTCCTTCCCCCCCTGGTTTCTATTCTCTCGTCTGTCTTCGCAGAGCTACAGTGGGGAGCTGGCCGTCGGTCGGCTGTGGGAAGTGGGCCAAGGTCTGAGGATTTGTGGAAGAGTTGTTTAAGCTTTCTAAAATTAGGCAGTTTACGGCGCAGCGGCACTGTTTACAGAGCCGTTGGAAATGAGCTCATGCTGGGGAGGTAGATGGTCTGCTGATCAGGGGTCAGAGCAGGCCTCCTCTGTCATGACAGTGTTTAGAAAAGTCTGTTTTGCTCTTACTCCTGCGAAAGTCACCACTTTTAAACAGAAGTGTGCATGGTATCGGGAGGGAAGAATCCAGGCTGAGCCAATACATTTTTTAAGCAACCCAGAAGAAGCTGTCGGTTGGTCTTAAACTCATTTCTGTTGCCATCTGTGCCACATATTGTTTCTTTTGCCCAGCGACAAACTGTCAGAATAAAACCCGACAACAGCATCCTGTCTGGACTGGGTCCCCTCCCTCTTTCTAACGGTTTGCTGCCTGTTAACCGTACTATACAGATGTTTACTCAGCCAACACAGCACACCTTACAGTCATTAACCAGAGAGGAGCTTGAGGAAACTAGAACCTGTGAAGATGCCAGATATTTCAGCACAGGAGGGTGGATGTAACTTATCCTCTCCTCTTATCTGCCAGACACTTTCCATCTTTCATCTTTCTTTAATACAGGAAACACACACGACATATTTCCACCATTGCGCCTTCAAAGGCAGCAGAACCAGTTCGAAGGCGTATCAAAGTGCTTCTCTCTAGTTTTTAATTAACTACCTAGCGACCTGCACAGTGTGTGTCTTCATATTGTGTCGCCGGAGCAACGTTTGTGACTCAGTTGTTGTGCTGCCCCCCCCTCCTGTCTCCTAACTGTCTGCCTGTTTATTTCAGATCTTTGAGAGCGATGCTGGAGGCCAGACGTACGCCCTGCCCCCCAGAAGCTCCGAGGTGAGTCAGAGAATTCAGCAATTCGGTCCGTTCTACTTCGTGGATCTTTGATGTAGCTTTAAAAAAAAAGAAAAGCATCTCATAACTGTCAAAGCCAACTCGTGGCACAGTTGTCGGTTGGAGCGTGAAGTATCCATGACAGAAACAGGCACTGTGTTACTTTGACCTCTGCTGTCTTTCATGGCTTTGATGGGGTGCTGAGTAAAGGGATTTCTACGCATATCGTGCTCGCGCGTGTGTGTGTCGGGCATTGGAAGGCGTGTGTGTTCCTCAGTGTATTACTTATTCAGGATCAAAGCAGAGCTTTCTTTCATGTTGCTCTTCAGGTGTATGCAGGATAAACAGCATATCCAACAGCAGAGGTTGAAGACCGTAGAAGCCCCTTTTTAAAAACCGGTGAGAGGAGAGGCTTAGGGAATGAGATAGCCGAGTTAACGGTGTGCGCCGAGTGTGTAATCATCACATCTGAGCAGCCAGACGTTGGACGTTTGCATGGCGTAAGTGTGAAACATTGCACTAAACCTCAGATTCAGACCTTGCTGGTCCTCCAACCTCCACATTTTTCGGCCGGATTAATTTCCCACATTAGGGCGGCCCTGTGGGTAGGAAGCCCATTTGCAGATTGTTAACAATCTGTAGGCGACCTCATAGAACGGATTTACATTTTTTAATGTTCGCATCCCCCTCCTAATTTTGCACACTGCTGCGGGACCTTTCCTCACTTTCAGTGTGAAACGCTTCATTCACCCGTCAAACTCTGGGATAGCCCGTGCTGTCGGATTATATCTCAGCGTGGGATTGTTATTATTCCAAACATCAGGGCAGCCCATCACTGGATGTGAGCACATTGGATCCATATGAATCCTGCTGCAGTTTACATTTAAGCGTGAAGGGCAGCATGTTAGTTTCTTGTGTTTAAGGCATTGTGAATACATACAAGGCATTTATGGGCTGGAAATTCTTCTCTTGAGGAAAATAATTCACCAGTCCTCAGATAAAAAGATACTTGATTGTAAGATGGATATTTGGACTGCCCTCCATTCCTACTCAGCTGTCTGTGTTGAGCTGTGTGTCCTATCAAAGACACCTCTGTAATTATGGCCGCCACACTGCTGCTGGCCACAAAAAGCGGCTCGAGAATGGCCGTTTGTATTCCTTTTAACCTCAATTAAAAGGACTGAGGACTGAGTGTCTATTCAAATATGTTTTGGTGTTTTCCTACGTTTACATTTCTGCATGTAGCAGAAACTGTGAACGCGAGGCAGCCTGAACCACACCAGCATGACCCCGGAATGAGATCACATCACAGATGCACGCAGATGTGTAGGCTAATGAGGACAGCCTTTTGCTTTAACACCAAAGAAGTCCGATTCGTATGGTGTCAGTAAGGCAGTTCAGCCAGTTTTCCGGTGACCCCCAAAGGCTGAAGAGCGTCGGTGCTGATTAAACGTAGCACAGATGGATGAGAATAATGGGCACTTTCAGACTGAGCCGCACGCAGATCGGGGTTTGCAGGATGCTATGATTCATAGCTGGAGTCTGTGGTGAATGTGGCGAGTGCAAAAAAGGCCTTTGTTTTCGGCTTTATAGAGACTTGGAGCAGGAAGTGGTTTGGGTAAACAATAATGGCCTTCATTAGATCGAAGCTTTAATGTTGATTTAAACACAGTGGCTTCCCTTTCGGCTTCAGTGTTTAAACCTCCATTAGATTTGATGGGAATATCGGAAAATGACTCATCAACTGGGATGTTGTTGTTTTTTTTTTTTAACATCTATGGGAAGAAAGACTGGCTTGGATGTGAGCATCGATTTCCCTCCATCCATGCATCTCTCCATTACAGACCGGATGACTTTGTGCCCGTTCCTCTCCCGGGAGTCACTCGGGGAGGCATTCATCCTCCTCTAATCCTTTGCAATAAAGCCTAGTTAAGAGCGCGTTTGTTTGGATGGGTCAACACTGTCTGCAGATAGACAGAAAGATGAGGAGAACAACCATCTGTGTGGGAAGGCCCTTCCACTGCTACAGCCGACTCGCCCTGTTTAGGGTTAAAAGACAGCACAAAGTGGCAAAGTCCCCTGTCCACCCACTCCTTCTGTCAGTAGTGGAGCGAGACTATATGTTTTGACTGCCCGGTGAGCACAATGACATGCTTGACTTGCATTGCTTGAAGTGAGGCTACTGCAGTCTAAGTCCTAGGTTTTTTTTACACTTGCAGTTACAGAATATTTGAAATGAGGGCAAATTTAGTGCATTTAAAGGCTCTTCTGTCAACCTCAAATGGGGCTGAATTAAATTCCACCAGATTCCTTCCACTGGCTCTTGACCGGGATGCTGTCGCCTGTCACCCCTGAAACACAGATCCCCCTTTCAGCACGCCACCGCCAACACACACACCGCTGTAATTCTAAAGCTCTAAACGCTAAACCACCAGGGCACAGACCAGCGCACTGTAAGGGCGGAGAGAAGCTCGGTTAGAGCTTCGGCAGAATGACTAGTAAGGTTGTGTTAGACACAAAAAGCAGAAATGAAAAGCTTTGTGGTCTGCCGGTCTGTTTGAGGCAGCGGCGTCGTGTTTGTGTTGCTAGGAGGAACAGAGAGTGAGCCGCGTCCCTTATTCCACGCTCCATCTTTAGAAGCTTCTGGGTGGGGAATGGCGCGCCCCGAAACGATTTCCACACTTGAGGGGAAAGTCTGAAATATCGAAACATTTGACTGAACGCAAGCGTGGCGAGCCGCTGGCCACACAGAGCGCCCGCTGAGGCGCGTGCCGCCGCCACGTTCCTGGCAGCCAATCGTGGAACGTTGACCAGGCAACCGTCAGTCTGCTCCTCAAACCATGAAAGAGCGCACAGTGTTACTCAGCATTCAGGCGGGGCAGAGCAGGAAACCAAACGTTCCTTTTTCCGGTCGCGCTGGTGTTGCCGGGGACACAGATGCCCTGTTGCCATGGTTCCCTGTTTTGGAGACCAGTGCGAAAGCCCTGACCTGGCGTCCCTGAAGGTGCGGGGCGGGCGCGGGCGCTGAACCGCTACCTTGTGTTCATTCTTCTCAGCAGGTGATGGAAAGGTTTAGCCCGGAACACTGAGGGCTTTATTTTGGCAGGGAGCCTAAAACGCCGCCCTGTGTGCGGGTCATTAGGAGGGAAACTGTGGAGAATATCCGTCTGCTCGTGTTGGTCAAGGCACTGCTTTAAGCGTGGGTTTGGTCTTTGCGGCTCAGCTCTGAATCAGACACTTCTGCTCGTCCCTTTAGGCTGTTTGTCTGGCAGCAGAAAGGTCTCTCTTCTCTTGAGGTGATTCATCGGCAGCAGATCACCTCCGAAAAACGGACAGAAAAAGCCAAACACACTCAGGCGCTCGCACTGATCGGCCGTTTCCCACCAAATTACATATTTGAAACCATTTAGCTTCCACGTCTCAGTCAGACTTCAAACCCCCCGAACATCTGCTGCGATGGAGACTTTGTTGGTGATCTTGGGTCTTGATAATTGTGGTTTAGGCCCCGAAACCACAGCAGTGTTTTTCCCCTCAAGAGACACAAAGTCGCAACCAAAAGCCCCAAATGGCTGCCTGCGAGGCCGAGCTGTACCCATCTCAGCCTTTGCAGCTAATTCCACAAATAATGCAACACGTAATTACCTCCAAAATGGTGGGCAGATTCTCTTAGAAATAAATGGTCGCTTTACACCACTCGGATGGAAAGAAAAAGAGGAAAGACATCATGTGGATGTTCAGATCTGCGAGTGGGACCGCGCCGGGCGTCTTGTATAGACGGTCATTATGACGGCTCTAATGTGGAGCAATTGTCGTCAACGTCGTCAAATGAATTTCTGAAAGGGTAATTGTATGACATCTCTGCTCTGCTTCTTGATCCACAGCCAAGCGTTTAGACTAATGGAATTGCTTTGATTTGTGTGACTCCCACCCACTCCAGCCCTTCCATCTCACCCGTTTCTCCTCTTCTTACAGCGGCTGGACGTGCTGGCCAGCATATACTCCATGTCGCCCCCCGAGGGGGGCCTTTGGGACGGTGTCTGCAGCCCCCCCGACGTGGTGATGCGCGTCCGCATGCAGGACGGCCTGACAATCCAGGTTCCGGTCAGAAGAGACCAGACGGCTGCCGACCTTCTCTGCGCAGCCTGCAAGGTTGGGTTTGCAAATGACATTTGACTTCTGTGGAGAGAACAGTGCTTCTGACAGTAGCGATAGCAAAAATGGCCAAACAGGTGCGCTGGTGTACTTTGGGTTTCGCTGTCTTCTGACATCTTGTCACGCGTGGCTTCTAAATGTCAACAAAACACAGATTTAAGTGTCAAATAGCCTCTTCTCAAGATTCTGCACAAGCAGATTTGGTTACATGTAGGAGAATAGTGATTCCACCCCCTCATCCGGTGGCTGGCATCACATTGCCCCCCCCTCCCACGCAGAACACGCTGGCGGTCCCTTTGGGCGACGCGCTTTTTGTGTTGCATCACCAAGTGTAAAGTCGGTGAATAATTGGCGCCCCTGAGCTGAAACGCGGCAGATTCCTTTGTGCGCGCGGGTGGCTGAACATGTCGGGCCTCTTTTTTTGAACAGGTGAAACAACTGGACCCGGACTCACACAGCCTGCGGCTGCACGGGCAGGACGGGGGGGGGCGCCACCTGGCTCCCGGGGAGCTGCTCCGCGACCTGGTAGGAGGAACACGTACGGTCCCACACAGAACTCTTAACTATTCCATTGGCGTCACTTATTTGTTTCGCATTTGGCCGGCAGGTGGGCGAGGAGCTGGAGGTGGTTCCGGCGAGTGTGTTTTCTCTGCACATGAGGAGGCCGAGCAGCTCGGCAGACTTCGGTGAGTCGGCCGTGCGTGGACGGGCCGATGCCCACCGCCAGTCTCTGATGAGGACAAGCCTCGCTCATGATTTTGTCATGTGTCTGATTCAGGTTTCGCCATAACGGGCCACATAGACACCCAGAAGAACAGCAGGATTTTTGTCAACGAAGTGCTCCCCGATGGGCCGGCGTTCTGCGAAGGTTTGCCTACTTAATCCCACTTAAACACAACAGTGTGTAGGCTTTGTGGCCTTCCTGGCCCCTCCTCTGAAACAGTCCTGCGTGTGCGACCAGGTCTGCGTCCGGGCGACGAGATCCTGACGCTGAATAGCCGCTGCGTCTCGGGTTTGGATCTGGCCTTGATCCAGACCCTGTTCGCCGAGCAAACCCTGCACCTGAGGCTGAGGAGGGCCGGTCCGGCGGGGGCCGCCGCCTGCCCGCCCCCCCCCTGCAGACAGAAGCAGGAGCTCCGCAGCAAGCACCACAGAGCCAAGTCCTCCTCAGGTGCGTGGTCCCATAGCTGCCAGCGACAGGCAGGCAGACGCCTGATTCCAGTTTGCCTTGAAACTTAAATTCTGTTTACCATTAAGTTATTGTCTCTACCACACGCTTAACGGTTAAAGGCAACAGCTGAGGTTTTGGGTGTTGTCGTCACCTCAGCCACAGGACGGCCTTCCGTTTTAGTGAAGGTTTCGACTTCCTCAGAGGGCTCATTGTTTTAACTATGTTGAAGAGCAAGCCCAAAGGAGCTGAAAGGAGACAAAGCTGTTTCCTATTGTAAATATAGGATATAGTCCGTCATTTTTGTTGAATCTCAGTGAGTAAGAGCCTTCAGAACTGAGCAGTAAGGGGCTGATAGCAGCTGCTGGAGGAGCAGTTTGTACAAGCGTTGCCGGGAAGGTAAGGTTCACAGTTTGATAGACACTATGTCATAGATACTTAAATTTATTTGAATAAAAAAAATATATATTTTTAATGTTTTTGGGTCATATGAAACTTCCTGGTTGTGTAGTGAAAATTCAGACTCGAATCCGGATGATCTGCAAACTGAACATTCGACTGAACTTTCTTTTAAGTTTTGTCAATGCCCTCCTTTTTTTGTGCAAGTCGCTTTGCTGTTGTTAGTTATAACAATCAATCAGTCTTTCCTTCGGTATGACAAAATTGAGCTCGAAAACCTCAGAGCTTCATGATGAGGGCCTGCAGATCTCTCATCCGCCTCTAGAGGGCGCATTATCCCAGGCAGGCAAATGTAGGAGGCAGGAAGGAAAGGGCAGGCGGCAGAGAAATTAACTCTCATCTGACAGGATTTACAAAGCCGCCTTCTCTAGAAGGAGTGCATCTGTCACTTGGTGACCACCTAGGTGCAAAGCAAAAAAACAAACAAAGCAGAAATTAAAGCAGACGACTGGATATCTTTAGAAACTCTGCTTCAAGCTCTTAGAAATGTGTTGACAGTGATTGCCAGCTTAGAAATGTGAAGTTTCTCTCCACGGGAGAATATAATCTTTTATTTCCTGCAGTTGCATTGGCCAGCCTCCCAGGCTACAATCAGGAGTAGCGTCTTTTTATGTGCCAACTGCCAGAGTTTGTCCTTGAAAACTCCAATTTCTAACTAATTCTCTGTTTTTTCATGATATCCCATAATGATGGTTAATATGTAGATAAATTCATTTCAAATTGATTTGAAGTAAACTAGGAGGGAGCCTCGTCTCCTTTTTGTCCAAACTATGAGAGATGTAGCAGTCTTTAATTAGAACTGACGTGTGTGTTTTCTTTTCCTCTTTTTTTGGATGGCCGAATGCCCTCGCTGCGTTTAGTTTTGGGATATTTTTAGGTTGTAGGCGACTGGCAGGCCGACCAGCTAACATTGTTTGTGTTTTGTGGCTGACGGGATGAGCCTCAGCGGAAATTCCTACTGGAGCATAAAGACGGAGTTCTCACCCTTTTCTCCCGCTCTGTCTCCTCAGATGTGTGTGCCGCAGCAGAGTGTGGCGATACCCTGTGCGTAGGACTGGAGAACGGTCACTCCCACTGCGCACACAGGCCCGTTCAGCACAGCAAGGTAGGCGGGGCTCCAGAGCAACAGAGACCCTATATTATCCCCTCTTTTCCTCCAGGTGTGTGTGTGTGTGTTAGGGGAAGGGGGGACGACTATGCATGTTATTTTCAGTTTGTGCCCACTCAAATGGCAGCTGTGACGCTGTCAGAAATCCAGACTGGCATCAGTCCGAAGCACTACCATAATTAGGAGACCCCCATCATAGCCACCGATATAAACACCACTCATTACTGTCATGGAGACGGGATGCAGACTGAGAGAGGAGGCTGCGTTTCACTCCCACTGCTTCCAACGTGCACAAGCGCGCGCACACGCACACACACACACGGGAAGACGAGGACAAGCGGGGGAAAAGTCCAGGAGGGAGTACAGTGTAAAGTCTGTGCTGAGAACACTTTGGGCAGGAATTCTGCTGAGCTTCTCTGTAAGCGCTTCTCTGTAAGAGCCCTGGCTTTTGTACAACGCACTCAATTTATTTCAAGTCGTCCTTTCAAACCATTTCACAGGCATGTGTGTTTGTTTTAAACCTGACAACCAGTCGTCCCTTATGAATTGTGACATATTGCGTTTCTATTTTCGGTCCGGCTCGCTCTTGAATTTTCCTGTCGGGGCTTTTTTTTTTTTGTTTATTGAAATCATTAAACTGAGGCCTGGGCTCATCGCGTTGGGAATTAGTGAAGCTGCGGTGTAATACAGGAGAATATGGACGGTGGTTATTATTAGGGGCACTAATGAGTGCGTGTGGTCACCTCACAGAGCCACGTGTTAATGGTGGAGACATGAATGGAAGCCGGGGAGCGAAGGAAAATGTGCTCATGCATATTCACCTTCTCTGGAGGTATCGGGCTGATATTTAATGTCCTCCAAAGCTGAGTGCCATAATTGTTATTACAGTTGTCGAGCACATGTTTGGCTCATTTGCTCGCTGCGTAATACCGGCTGAAAGAAATGAGAACCGGCCCTGGCTTTGTTTTCAGCAGGGAGGATTTTGGTAGGAAATCCAGGCTCCGTATCCAGAGCGCGTCTACACAGGTTGCGTGGGTCAGACTGTGCCCTCTGGGTCAGCCAACGGGCAGATGTGAGAGGACGGCTCTCCTCCGGCCCACACACGGGCTCTGTTCTTTCCTCTGTTTGAGCCGGTTGCAGCGCGCTGGGGTCTGCAGTGCAGCAGCGCTGCTGCTCAGCTTCCCGGAGAACCAGCGGAGCGGCGTTCCGATCGGGCGTCTGCGTCACGTCTGCACACACGAGAAGCAAAACGAAAGGCAGCTCGCCTTTTTCGTTCAGGGAAAAGTCAACCCCTGTGAAGGGAACGGGGAAAAAAAAAAAAAAAAAGCACAGATGAAACACGGGGTGAGATACTGGGGCTGGTAAATCACTTTTTTTTTCTTTTTTTTTTCTTTCTGCCACGCAGAGCTGGATTTAATCACAGCACAGCCGTCACTTTGTTCTCCGGGGCAGGGGGAGAGAAAATCGAGTCGCCGGGTAGAAAATCGGCTGTGTATCAGCATATACGTTCACGCATGCGTGCACGCCGCCAGTGAATGTCAATGGAGATGAATGGGAGGGAAGGACTGATTTCAAGCCTCCTGTCGCTCCTCGTAATCAGCTGCCTCACTAGACTGGCTACGTTTGATTAATTGGTCCGTTGCATTCCAATTTGCTGTTATTGCAGGAGAGAGATCTGCATGTGTGGGTGTGCGTGTCCATTTGAATTTCTTCCTTGGCTCAGTTAACGGTATTGTTTATCACCAGGATGCTGATTGGGATTCCTGTGCTGTACCTGAGAGCTCCAGAGCTTAATAAAACATTTGGTCATGGAGTGCTGAAACAATCGGTTTAACACAATGCTGAGCTTAACCAATTCATGGCTGATATCAGATGAGGTGGCAACACGTTCTGAATGAATTAGACATGGATCAAGTGTGGAAGGATGAGTATAGGGAAAGATGAAGTGGGTGGACGGCTTATGCATCCTCATGATTCAGGGATTTCATTCAATTATTAAGTAATTGTTTTAATAGTCCCTTTGCAATGCAAAAATGCTTTTTTTCTCTTTGCTGTTTCCAGCCTCTCATAAATGAATTGGTACATGCTTTGGTTTTGTTATAATATTAAACTAAATATATTTGGTTTGATAAGATATAAGAATCGTTATTAGACTTTGTCTAACATTGAAAATATTTGACTAAGATGGATGCTGGTGCCTAATCAAACTATTTTAAAAGCAAAAGCGGAGGTCATCGTACACTAAATGGAGCTTTGTAATGTTCTGGTCTGAAACGGAATGTAGATTAGCCTGAAATGGTAAACACGGTATGTTGGTCATGCTGTAAAGATGATGTTTATTTAAACCAAAGGTTAGATGGCAGTCAGACATATTAAGCCTCTTTGCGTTTTCCCAGACCAGACATGTCAGTAAGAGCATTTGAACGGACTTATGAAGGGGGTTATGACTGGAGCCCCGCTCCGTCTGCCTGTCAGCACGGGCAGATTTGGCTGGACTCAGCCCACTGACCCACAGATGTTATTGGCGTCTGAGTAATAGTGCAGAAAAGGCCTTCACACTTTTGGAGGATAGCGTTATCTCTGGCGTTGTCTTCTTTTTTACGTGTCTCATACGTCTGAGGTGTTTTAACACTATTTAAAAATGTGTGAATCGATAGTGCGAGTCTTGGTTCTCCTCTCTTATCTGGACTCGCAGACTTAAAAAGAAACCCCTGCAGATATTTGCAGGCATCTTTCTTAAATAGATCTCGTCTTCCTTCGAGCTTCACGCCCCCCCCCTCCCCAGACTTTGGAGGAGCTCCTTTAGCCGGATGCCGTGTGTGTTTGTGGCTGTTAGAGGGAGAGAGTTGGGAGGGGGTCATTTGGGATGTGTGTGTGTGTGTGTGTGTGTTATGACTAAGCCCATCAGCCACCATCTGGCCTTGAGCAGGCTAATAATCTGGGCTTATTGCTGGCAGCCCAGTTAACACGAGCCTTCTCTTGTCGGTGCTCTCCTCTTGATGAAGACAAAGCTACTAATTTATGGGAGCGGCAGATGAGTAGATGACCCACAGGGATCCCGGCCCAGTAATGCCCCCGGTGTGGGTGTGATGAGCGACCCGGGGGCTGCTGGAGCCGCAGCCCCGGCGGGTAAAGACGGAGACTCCCGGCCGTGCCTCTACCTCACCACCCTCATCCAGCTGTTCACGCACGAGCGGTCCCCGGCCCACGCCCTCTGGTCCCTCTTGGCCATGTGCTGGTTCTGGTCGTCGGGCTGCGAGGCCGAGGAGAAGGAGCTCTTTCTGGGATCGGCGCTGCTCAGCCTGGGCCGGCTCCTCAAGGACAAGCTGGCCTGCCTGGCCCGGGACGTGAGCGACTGCCTGCCCTGCCAGAGCGACGACGCCAAAGGAGACGACGGGCCGGTAATTAACGGAGAGAGCCGATGATGAGGGATTCGCACAAAACCCGCAAATGTTTGTGTTTCTGCGGTCAGAATGTGTAAACGCGTGTGGACTTGTCTTAGTTCTTGTCTTTAGCCTTTTGTGAGCAGTAGCAGTCAAACGCTGCTGTGACGGCAGCTGGTCGGAGTCTCCGTCTTTCGGTGGTTGTTTGTTTGGAGTGGATAGTCCTGGTTTCTTCCTTTTTGGGGCCTGATTTACCCGAATTGTGCATTTTCCCTGTCTCGGAACAGCGGTTGCCTTTAAGTGCTCATACTTGTTTATCATCAACAAGCATTTCCACTTAAGCTTTCATTATTTCTGGCATCATGGAATAAGAATAGCATATAAAGCTGGCATTCCTGCGCCTTTTGTAGCGGCTTTCATGCCGTGGAGTGGATGTGAATAGCCCGAGGGACCAAGTAGAATGGGTGCTTTAATCTGAAGCTGGTTTCATTATTAAAACACACTCCTCTCCCAAAGTCCTCTGAGAATCGATGGAATAATATTTGTTAAGGATGAATAATAAAAGGCATCAATGGGCCTGCGTGGAGTGCGGCGGCATCAGCCCCCCCCCCCTCTCATCCTCCTCTCTCCTCCCGACGACTCTGTTTGATTTATGAGTCTGTGTCTGACTTTATTGGGCTTTGAAAAGAAGATGGCATGGCGGTACTACGGCCCACTAACATGGCAAATGAATCACCGGGCGGCCCGCGGGGCCACCGGGAGCAGCTCTCACTCTCCCCGCCTTAAAGTGTCACCGCGTAAAGGCTGTTTCCTGTAAGGGACGGGGGGAAACCAGCCCCGGGGGCATGCCTCCATTTCGTACCGTTTTCTTTATCCTCTCCCTCCCCACATCTGTTTGTTTACTTTGGCGAAGATGGCGAGATGAAATGCACCTTTTAAACCGAGCTGCGTGTCGTCTGCAAAAGCAGCCTGAGCTCTGCGCACGTACATTTACTCGGAGCACTAAAAGGGAGGTGGTGTTTACAGTTTATCTTCCAGCCGTCCCCATGGACACGAGTTGGCTGTTTTTGCAAATGTGTTTGTGTCCAAAAGGTGGGGGAAACAAGCATTGATCTGGGCTGACTTTAGAACCGTGTGTTTACTGTATTTAGAACCATGCGGCATTAGCTCAGAACGCTCAGACAGTGTCTCGCAGACAGCTCGTCCATGGCTTGTTTGGGACCCGAACCCTGTGGGACGGGTTTGAATGTTGGAAATGGAAGACTCACAGACCAAAACAACCCCCGTTCATTTCCCCACCTCCTTCCTGAAATGAAAAAAAAGAGGTTTGAGGAACACTTAAAGAAGCTAAGGCTTATAACTTTACACTGAATCATCCATACAAGATGGACCCCATCTTCCAGCCCCCCCCTCACCACCCAAACGCACTCAGTTTTAAAAAGCCACCACTTTTTATAGAGCGTGTTCGTCTGTTTATTTATTCCACATGACGCCACCCTGCCAATCGAGCATTACATGTCAGGTTTTATTCTAGCGCGAGGCCGTGGTTAACATTCCTGCCCCGTTAGCCCCACCAGCTCCGAGCCTCCCATTTTTGAGTCAGCCATTCTTCTGTGTGTGGAGGTAACAAGCCAGAACTCTCCTCATTGTGCTGCGGCTATTGAGAGGCCGGACCCTGATCCAGCTGCCGGCCTCTCCATTCAGCTCTCTGGAAATCCCATCAGCGCGGTCGCTTCGACCCGGCGTGGAGGAATGAAGACAGCCAAAAGAAACGTAAACAGAGAGAGGGGAGGCAGGGCGGACGGCGAGATGTGGAGGTAGACTCACAGGGGGAGCGATGCTGATGCAAAGAGATGGATGGTAATAGCTGCTAGTGGGAGAATTCCCCACAGGGGCCAGACTTTACACGGCTGTTTAATATGCCAAACCGGCCGGCCGCGAGCACTTTTTCCCCTGCCTACGCTCGCAGAAGGGCAGCGCGCAGGATCAATGGCTCCATCCCCATCAAAGCAGGCTTCACCCCAGCAGCAGAGCTGCACTCAAGACTGACGCGTCTGCCCCGGCCCTGAAAGAGAGACGGCGAACAAATCAGACAGGAAGTACGCGGGAAGAGAATATCGAGGTTGAAAAGGCGAAACAATTTTTTTGAAAAAGAATTCAGAAAAAACAAAAGCGCAGGCCGAGCCTGGATCCTTCTTTACGACCACACGGCCATGCCGACGTCCAGAGGAGGCAGGCTGCGGAGGAAGGGCTGCTCGCTGGCCCGCCGGACGCGGCGGCAGGCGGCGGCGGCCTGGAGGCTGCTGTACCGGCTGCTCTTCATGGTCACGCGCCGGCTCGGGAAGGTAGCCGCACTTCTGCTCACGCTTTTAAGTGTTTTTAAAAAACAATCCCTGCTTTTTAAAGCCGGAATGACGCGTTTTGGCGTGCCCGTCAGAGGAATCTGGGTCTTCTGGTGGGACTGGTATGTGGGAAATGTTTGCTTGAACTTGTGGGATTCTGGTGCCGGTGGACTGGAATCGCCGGCCTCTTTTCTCCCGCCTCTGCTCGTAATTGGTTCTTTGGGTTAGTCGGTTGGACCGCTGCGATCCGGTCGCAGACTGAGTCACGGCTCTCTAGCCCCCCCCACCCCTTCCCCTTTTTCTTGTGCCTGCCCATATCCTCCTGTCACGCTCCATTGCAGGTATCTGTCATTTAGCGCTGATGAAAACTGGTGGGAATGTGTCTCACATCCTTCAGCATCCAAACAAGAGCCTTCCCTCCTCTTCCCTTCTCACTCGCTGCCTCATTATCTCCTAATTTTATGCATTCTTGACGTGAGCATGTGCTCATACCGTGCCTTTGTGGGGGTGTGATGGTAATTAAGTTGGCATCTGAGTGGTGGTATTTGCTACTGTGGGCACACGTGTTAACAACAACCCCAGCAAGCCTGCCCCCCCCCCCCCCCCCCCCCCCCCCCCCCCCCCCCACCCACCAAGACCGGATGTGTTTGTTTTCCGTCATCCCCCCCTCCCCCTCTCCGTGCTCCTGGGAGCCTCTGTTTATTTGATGAATGTGTTGCTCTGATATCCTTCAGCCCCCGCGTTCCCTTCAGGCAATCTTCTGCCGTCCGTCTGTCTGCTGGGAGGTTTCCCGAAGCGTGCACCAGTGAATGAGGGCTGACTGCCTCTGTGTGTGGCACCGTGGCAGTTGCAGTTGGTGGCTGAGGCAGGCTTAATAATCTTTAAAGGGAAAGTGTGTCAGCGGCCGTGTTAACAAGCAAAATAAACGCTGACATGTCAGAGTATTAACGCCGCTGTTACACGTTTGCTGACATGACTTTAGACTGTGTTGTGCACAGAATCCCGAGATTGATTATAAATATTTACATGGTGAAGTATGTCCAACTGCAGCAAATAAGGGCGTCTTGTGCCCCCCCCCGCTTTAGCTCTTCCACCAGTGCGCGGGGGAGACATTAAGTCCCCTCAAAGAACTCCACAATGGAGCTCTGCTGTGGGTGGTGGATCACTTGAAAAGAGGCTTAGCTCAGACATACATAAAGGACATGGAGAGGAATTTTCCCCCTCTGTCTCTTAATTCTCTTTGACTCTCAGCGACACAGGGGCGGTGGGCGGGGCCATCTCTAGGGTGGGCGGGGCCACCTCACCTAAACGAGCCCGCTGATGAGCCGCCGGCTTATTAACGGACGCCTCCACCGTCTGTGGGCTCCCCGGCAGTGGGTAAAAATTTGCCGGTAGAATCGGGGCCGAATGACTCAGACAAGCCTCAACGCTCGGCTCGTGCACACGCACGCGCGCACGCACGTCGATCCCTGCAGCGTCAGACCGGAGGGCGTATCGATCCATGTCTGTTGCTGTGCGCTCTTTGGGGGGGAGCTGCACTCGACTGCTTGCTCATGCGATATTTTGAATAGCAGCACACACACACACACAAACACTCTCACACACACACACACACAGGGAGGCAGAGAGTGCTGAGCAGCTGTTTTGCTTGGCACTGTGGCCGTCCCACCGCTCTGTGATGCTGTGCAGCAGATTGGAACCTGCTATTAACTGGCACTTACCAGCCATTGCTGATTTCAGGGACTGGCCATAGATTATAACGCTGCATCATGTTATCCACCCGGAATAAGACCCAACGGCCACCGCCACGCTCTAAAATAGCTCACACACTTCGGTCCAGCACAGCTCGCTGCTGCTGATGAAGTGTTTGGCTTGTCGGGTTGGAAACTACTGCAGGTTTTGATGAAGAAGAAGTGCATTTATAGCATTTCCTTAAAAGCTTAAACCGAAAGGTGGCTTTGAAGAAGTTGGGGTGTTGTATAAGTATGTAAAAACAGTGTCACAAACCATTATTTTATTTACTACATCAAAATGAAAAAATACTAAATATTGAGCTGATTATGTCTTTAAGAATGATAGTGTTAATGTTCTGTCACAACAATGGCTGAAAAGACGCGGAAAATAAGTCCAGGACTTTCCTGGAAAAGTCCAGGAATATGTGGCAGTTCCTAGTAACGTCTCAGGTGTTCAAACCAAAGTCTTTTTATTGTTCAGACTACAAAATCATACGTGCTGCAGGCAGGATCTCCCCATGCGATGCCTTCATCTTCTGTTCATTTCCTTCCTGAGGCTGTACAGTCGGAGTGAAGGAAAAGAGCTGATGATCTGTCTCCCTTGAATTCCTGTGCGAAGCTTTGTCTCTCACCTGCAACAGAGAACTATCTGATAATAACCACGCTCTTACGGTCTAATACGGACGCTTGCAACCTAATTTGCGACCTCGTGGGGTTTCTGTGTGTCAGATTTGAGGAAAATGACGTGACGTCACGCTTCCCAACTGCTCGTCATGGATTTAGTGGAACAATGAGATGTGCTGTAAGGCTATCTGCAGGGATATGGTTAATAGTAGGTCTTTGATACAAAGCCAATTAGCAAAGACTGCATAACTAAATCTTCATAACGCTCTTAGAATACCCATGGGGGGGGTTACTGATCGTGCACATTGTAGAATTATATATGTAATTATCTACTACAGCATTGGTGTGGAATTCATTAGAAGGAAATGGTTAAATGAAGGACAGTTTTAATGGGCCCTTATGTGTGCACATGCATTGTGATCCCCAATTAATCCAGCTGGAAGTTCTAATCCCTGAGCTGTCTAACCTAAATCCACCACCCTTCTCTCTGTGCCCCCCCCCCTGCAGAGCGTGGACACCGTGTGCACCCTGTACCAATCCTTCCAGGAAGGCCCGGGGTCCGGCGGGGGGATGGACGACGGCCGGAACGCCTCGGCGGGGGAGGGGGGGGGCGGCGGCCGGACCGGGCACCCTGCTCCGGCCGTGTCCCAAGCACCTGAGCGCCCCCGAGAGGCTGCGCAAGGTCATCCAGGAGCTGGTGGACACGGAGAAGTCCTATGTGAAGGTGAGCCCCGACAGCTGGAATCGCTGAACTCCATCTGAGAAGCGGGCATGAATATTTAAGCACGCGTGACCTTGTGCTTTCTAAAGATTTAGCGAGACGTCTCGCCAGCCCATTTTTTTCTATCGAGGCTCTGATTTATCCTCCCTTTTTCTTCTCATAACAAGCCCTTTCCCCCCCTTATGCAAATCAAAGCCACAATCATGATCTCCTCCACTCTGCGCCACTCGTCACGCTCCCATTTTTCCTCTTTTCTTCTTCATTTCCTCATTTTCTCTGCTCAGCCTCCCTGCGTCCCTTCTCTTCAGCCCGCTATTGAGTTGTAATTGAAGGAGGAGACCGTATTCTCAGAGATGCTTGATGATGCAGGCTTTTTCGTCTGTATCCATGCCGGGTGGGAGGGCGAGGGGAGGGGAGGCGGAGGGGGAGGGAGCTCATCTATCAACCTAATGAGAATATCCCCACTGATACCCAGGCCAGCTACAACCACATTAAAGGAGGGGAATAGAGACAGACAGTTGGAGGTTATAAAGGCAGAAATCTGACGAGGGAAGGTTAAAGGATGATGTTTAAGGGCTGACCCTCTGAATTTCTCCCTCGTAGGATCTGGACTGCCTGTTTACCATCTACCTGAAACCCCTGCAGAACGAGACCTTCCTCACACAGGATGAGGTGAGTGGCCTCAGAAAAACACACAACACGCCTGGGGGAGCATGCAGCCGTGGGCAGGCCACGGCAGCTGCCCATTCTATATAAAACCTCACCTCACTGTTGTTGTTTTCTTAACCCCCTGACGAACTCCTGAACTCCGCTGAGCCGTCTCCATTATTACCGCCTCAACTGGCCTGAGGGTGAATTAGCATTCCCCCTACGCTGACCTCCCAGCCTCCCCTCCCTGATAAGCCCAGCCGTAGAGCCCACCTCAGTCCCCCGACGGCTTCGCAATAGATGTTTTTCCCCCGCTATATAGAACCTTATTTGACCTAGCAGTGGCTGCCACCTGCTAATGAACTCCCAGCTTCCTGCTGCCCGCCGAGCACGAGCCCGAACACGCGCCCCCCCCTCCCGACACGCGCAGGTCGATGGGCTGCTGAGCTCCGGGGCAAATCAAAAGGCCATTAAGAGACAAGGACGCGCAGCCCTCGGGTGGCTTTTAATGCACAGCACCGCTGACCCCCGCCTTAGTGGACGATGGAAGGTTGTTTTTTTTCCTTCGTGCTGCATTTCATAGCTTGTCTCTGAGTGCCTTTGTCAGAGATGGAGCCATCACAGAGGGAGCTTTAAGGAGCCTGTCTGTCCGACTGTTACAAATTACAAGCCAACGTTTTCCCCCCCTTCCACCCAACTTTATATCTGCCCGTTCTCTCCCCTCTCCGCCTCCCACCCGTTGTGCTCCCTTCATATATCCTCATCAATCAACTTCCCACCCTTCCTCCGCACCTCTTTCTCCTCTCTCCATCCATAACTCTGCTCCCCTCGTCTCCCTTTCTTCCTCCTCAGATGGAGAGTCTGTTTGGCAGTCTGCCCGAGATGCTGGACTTCCAGCGGGTCTTCTTGCAGACACTGGAGGAGAGGATCGCCTCCTCCCCCGACTTCAGCACCCTGGAGACGCCTTCCCAGTTTAAGGTGAGGGTCAGAAACAGCTACAGAGCGCATAGTTGGTTAAAGGTGAACGGGATTCTCAAACCAGGCGCTTCGAGCCACTTTTCCGAAGAAAGGAGCGTTTTTTGGGGGGGGGGATTCTCGGGTTTATAAATAATTGAGGCGCTGCGACAGGGGCCTGATCAGCTGATTTATTGGCCTGCCGTAACGAGGTGTGGGCTCTATTGATCAGGCTGCGGTTCAGTGGTTGGACCGGCAGCCGCTGAAAGGTTAGCTGAGAGGGGGGGGGGGGCGCTCAAAGAGCCCCCAGGGGGGGGCGGGGGGGGTCCTGTTTTTACATGCTTACGCCCTTTAGAACTCCCCATCTGTGTGCGACACTCACCCCCCCTCTGCTCTCCATCCTCCTCACAGAAGCTGCTCTTCTCTCTCGGGGGCTCCTTCCTCTACTACGCTGACCACTTCAAGCTCTACAGCGGCTTCTGTGCAAACCACATCAAGGTCCAGCAGGTCCTGAAGAGAGGTACGAATCAGCCATCATCCCAAACAGAACCACACGGCTGCCTCCTTGCAGCTGTGTTGCATCAGGGCTGCCTCATGTTTCCCACTTGGGGGATTTTTCGGGCCTTCTCTTTTGGGGAAGCAACTCAATTATGCATAAAAGTAAATGTCCCAAAGTGAAACATGTGGATGAAAGTGCAGGCAGTGATTCCTCTCTGATCTGCTGCAGGCGTCCTACAGGAGCCTTCTCCCGCTTCCATTTTGTGATGCACGCTTTTCAAAGCGGTTGCATTGAAACCACACACGCGGCTCTCTGCCCCCTACGAGCCTCAACCGTTCCCTGATTCTCCCAAAGCGCGTGCGGGTGTAGAGAATGTTGAATTAGATCCATGCCCGCTGACATGCCGGCCTCTCTGACACTTTTTGGGAACGCTGCCCGGCAAAGTGAAAGATGTAAGATGATTGGCTTCCTTGCCAACACGGGGAGGGCCGGGAGGATAAAATGCACGGCTTAAATCTTCCCCCATTACCAGAGCTGTTTGGGGTATTCCTTGACGTTCGCTGCAGGATGGATATTTAATAGGATTAGCACTCCAAAACTCTGTGAGTCAGAGTTGCCCAAAGGAGAATAAATAAAGTGGTCAAACCACGCTGGACTATGAAAGAGCTTTAAGCTCCGGTAAATATTTTGACCATAAACAATGTTAATGATGCATTGTGATAATATATATATATATATTTTTAATTGAATATAGCCAGTGAAAAAGCAAATGAGCCTTAAATTGAGTGTATATGGTCTCTCAGTGCCTGCGTGGCACAAACCGTCTCCAGACATTAAAGAGGAAAAATGAGTGGTTTTCTGGAATCAAAGCCTTAAATGATGGGGTGTGGTGAGCTCCAGCTGCTGAACACCGACTAATATTAGAGGAGCAGGTAGCCCAGAAATGACACGGCACCAATGAGAGCAGCCGAGTGGCTGATCGCATCCAGCTGATCCGTACAGGGAGGCTGGGGGGTGTTTATCAGGCTTTTCAGTGATTATGTGCAGCTCCCCCCCTCGTGCTGAGGGCTGCCGCCGTTTCTCTCTTGTTTATTTGTAGACTTGTTAATTGCCTGCCAATTACTCTGGGAGGTGCCGATGCGGCTGCCGGTCTGTGGCTGGAAGTGTTATAATTATTACAGTAATGGCCCCCCTCTGGAAGTGTTGCGGAAGAGGGAAAATGTCACCTCCGCCTTTCACCAAAGACACGCTCCTCCGTCTACCTGCAGTTTCACACCGCTTCACGCTGTTGCCAGAAACTAGGCAGCGCCAACTCGATTCTTTCGGGAGTTCTAAGGGACCCACGCTACTCTGCAGGCAGATTTTCCTCTCCAACTTTTCCTTGATGCAGTAGAAGGTAGTTAGAGGAGAGGAATATACCCCCCCCTTCTGGTGCTATGACATTGCACCAGAATTCTGAGAGACCCAAGTCCAGTGTTTGGTTATGTCCAAAGAGACCAAAAGCAAAAGCATCTCCCTGATGATCCACACTGATTCAGGGTGTTTGTGTGTGTTCTCTTTTAAGCTAAGACAGATCAGGCCTTCAAAGAGTTCTTGGATGCGAAGAACCCCACCAAGCAGCACTCCTCCACCCTGGAGTCGTACCTCATAAAGCCTGTGCAGAGGGTGCTGAAGTACCCCCTGCTGCTCAGGGAGCTGGTCTCCCTCACCGACGCAGACAGCGAGGAGCACTACCACCTCAGCGGTGAGACACCACACAGCCGACTCCAGCATTTAGCTGCCATGTTGTTATGTCACGGCTGTGCATATCAAACAAGCAACAACAACAAAAACGCAGAATAACAACCACGTGTGGATGTCTCTGTTCTCCTTCTGGCCACGCAGAGGCTCTGAAAGCCATGGAAAAGGTGGCCAGCCACATCAACGAGATGCAGAAGATCTACGAGGACTACGGCTCCGTCTTCGACCAGCTGGTGGCGGAGCAGACGGGTCATGTGAAAGAGGTGGACGCGCCTTTCCATGTTGGATCCCTAACCATCACGCAACAAGCACTGGACTTATAATGTAGTTTTTGCTTGGTTCAGTTCGAAATCGCGCGCACACTTACTAGAAGGCTTGGTCGCATAAATAAAAAGAAATAAATGAAAAATCCTTATCACTATTAGTCTGTGCAACTTGAGCCCAGATAAGCGAGAACATCAGAGTGGAGCTGTTCGGCTCATGTGAGCCGCCTCTGGGGAGAGAATAAATTTACAAATTGATGGAATATTTATTTGAAAAGCACATCCATATAAATATTCAAAGTGAATGCTAAATAATGTTGTCGGCGGTGCACTGTATGTTTTTTTATTTTATTTATTTTTTAGGAACATTTATTTAGAGTGCTCTTAAAGACCATAAGAAGGTTTCCCTAAAAACCATCTCCCGGCCTGTGCACCGGCTCTCGTTTGTAGCGTTTGCCCAAATCCATTTACAGAAGTGGCTGCTTGGAACTGGTCTAAAAAAGTCTGCCTTGTTCTTCCAAAAGCCAACGCTGACTGTTGCCCCGTGCGTCTTTTAGGTCACCGAGATTTCCATGGGAGAGTTTCTCATGCATTCTTCAGCGATCTGGCTCAACCCCCATCCCTCGCTGGGCCGCATGAGAAAAGATCCCGAGCTGACTGTGTTCGGTGAGTCTAGATGTCACTCATGAGGGCTGGCAGTCGGAGCTTTAAAGTGTGCAGTGGATTTGTTAAGGAGCTGCACTTTGAATATCCACAGCTGTAGCATTGATATGCGCTTTAAGGCTCCGAGCTGGCATCTAAAATGCTGCTGTGGATTGCACTCTTTCACTCAGCTTTCCCCATGAGGCATTTACAAAACTAAGATGCTGGTGTTATTTTACCCCCCCCCTCTCTCTCCAGTCTTCAAGAAAGCAGTGATATTGGTCTACAGGGAAAACAACAAGCTGAAGAAGAAGATGGTAGGAACTGTGTCTGTTACACTTTGCATTATCACAAATTGAGTGTTTGCATAGGTGTGAAACAGCGTTTTCTCTTTTCCCTCATGTTTGCTGTCCCCCCCACCCCACCCCTTTCTTTCTGCCTGGTGAACAGACCAACCCTCGATCGGCTCTGTGTCACGGAGATTCTGACCCATTTAAGTTCCGCTGGCTTATCCCGCTCTCCGCGCTGCAGGTCCGGCTGGGAAACACTGCAGGTAGGACGCGGGGACACCGCCACGTTATTCACTTTATCGCTCACAAAATATGTGGAGCGAATCTTTATAGAACAGCGTTTTCCCCGCACGCCCCTCTTCTGGCATTTCCTTTTCACCGTCTGCCTGCTTATCGCCCTCTGAAGCCATAAAGCATGTTTGGCCTGTGTGATTAAAAGGCTTTTCCTCCTTTCATGGCTCTCTCAGGAACAGGCACTGAAAGCAGCTGCATCTGGGAGCTGATCCACTCCAGGTCTGAAGTGGAGGGCAGACCTGAGACGGTCTTCCAGCTGTGCAGCAGGTCAGAGATGCAACAGTCGGGCAGCTCAGTCCGTTTCATTTTAAAAACAGATTAAAAAAAATGCAAAAGGCTTTGCAAATATAATTCAAATGTGTGTATGTGTCGTTTTATTTTTAGAAGTGCTTAATGTGATAAAAGGGTACTTCCACACAATTTGGCAAATTGCTTAAAATAGATCAAAATCGTGTTTTTTGGAAATATTCTTAGTTTTGATGCACCTGTTTAGAAACCCAGGATTAATGTGCTAAAGCGTGAGGATATTTAAAATGTGGAGAGTGAAGCCTGTGACCAAACTGGTAATTCTCATTACACACTGTGAAATTGGGATCAGTCCTAATGAATTACATCAGCCGTGTCACACTGTGGAACGCTCACCCGTCCTTCTGGATCTATGGTCAGCCTCCCTCTGCTCATGCCTACGTGGTGTGCCTTTCTTCTTCTCAGTGAGCCAGAGGGCAAGGTGAACATCATAAAGGTGCTGCGCTCCATCCTGCGGGAGAACGTGAGGAGGGCCGTGAGGAGCGAGGGCACGCTGGACAGGAGCTGCAGGGAACAGCCGGCCCCCCTCCGCCGCACGCTGCCCGCCTCTGCCAAGCTCGGTGAGTCATTGTTTCCTTTCTCCCTTTTGTTATATTTTTCCGAATTCAAGATGGACGAAGATACGATTCTTGTCTGGGATTTGCCGCGGTCGTTTAAAAATTATTAGCAGCTTAATGCGATGTCCTTTGCAGATGTTTTATCTCGGTTTTAAGGTCATGAATTGTGCATTGTGTGGGTGTTTTCGCTCAGATAAGGGCCTCATTTCCACTCTTGTTAACAGGTTCCACCAGGGTTTCCTGGTGGTGTAAGCAGCCGCCTGAGGGCTCCGCCCAGGGTGGGAATCCCAAGCCGGGGCCAGACTCGGATGAGGGCAGCCTAAGCAGTGGAACCTACAGTTTTTCGGGGGCCCCTCCGGCCTGCACCTCCTCTGACTCGCACAGCTTCCCTCCTCAGCCCTCCTGGGCTGAGCCTCGGGGGCCTGCCCCCCCCACCCGCTCCGCCTCGGTCAAAGAGTCGGACATACTGAGCGACGAGGACGACGACGGCTTCAGCGAGGGGGTGGCCAGGCGGGATAGCGGGGACAGCGGCTCCCCGACCAGCGCCATCGAAGCTCAGTTCATCCAGCTGAAGCTGTCCGAGGACGCCGTGCCAAAGTGCGCCCCGGCCCCCCGCGTGCAGCCGGAGGGGAGCGGGGACACCCCGGAGATCCAGCAGAAGACGGCGCGGGGCCGCTTCGGCGCCGGCAGGAGAAAAACGGGCAGTCTGAAGGGTCACCGCGGGGTGCTGCTGCACATGAGGGAGCAAAGCGGGTCAGCGGACGGCGGCGTAGACCCGGCGGCGGCCCCGTGCGGCGCCGCGGACCTCAGCACGCTGCTGGAGCGGGAGTTCAGCGTCCAGAGCCTGACCTCTGTGGTCAACGAGGACTGTTTCTTTGATCCCTCTGAAAGCTGCGCCGCAGACTGTGGGAACGCCACGTCCCCTTAGAGGACAGAACGGCTGCACGCTGCCTCGCCCAGAGGTCAGTGCAGAGGCGTCACAGGTGGGGAAACCCCCGCGGCCTCTGCCGGGGGGGGGCTCAGAAGTCAGGACGTCTGCCACCTGCCTGCTAAAGGTCAGGGGTAAGCGATCTGGTGGCCGGCAGACCGAGTGGAGACGCGCTGCAAAGTGATTTCTGTCCCCGCCGCGACTGCAATGAATCTGCCAAGCACTGAAGTGGACCTGCCAGCTCCTCTGTTCCCGGCCTCCGCATTACAGTCTGCTCCCCCCCCCGTGCCGATTGGCAGGTTTTATTTTTGACCTTCTCTGTGAAGAGAGGAGGCGGTGGTCAGAGGGGTCCCGGACGCGTCGGGCAGCGGGACGCGGAGCTGAATCCAGTTTCTCAGGAAGGCGCCGCGGTCATTTGGCCCCATTTTCCCAACAGCAGGCTTTCAGTTGACTCCAGATTGTTGTTTATTTTTAAATCCAACACAACCAAAAACCGTAGATGTCCGCTAATGCAAATGAAACGGAGCTCAGACTGAAAGAGGGCCAGCGAGGGCTGTAACAGGATTCCACCTGAAGAGCTGCGAAGGTCAAGTTGGTTTGAACGAGCAGGACAGAGACTGACAGACACACCAATGCCTTTTTGCTGTATTCTGTGCACTAAAGTACACTGTTTGCCTATATATTAGAATTATTTTTTTATGTATTTACAGGTTTAATGTTATTATTGCTGTTTTTAATTTATTACTAAGATTGATTATGTGTATCCTGGTTAAGGAAACTTTTGGGTGAAGGCTTGAATTCTTGGCTATAGATTTGGTCCACTCTTGAATTAAAAACATAACACAGTTTATTGTTTCTCCACTTCATTTTAAATGTAGCCGCCTGGATTTTGTTGTTTTGTTGACGATTGCCATTTCCAGGGGATGCTTTTTTTTTTAATAAGCGATTTAAACTGCCATGTTTTACATTTTTCGTTTTTATTTTTCTATGTATCCTGTACTATTTTTTCTAAAATTTATGGATACTGATGCATCTTTGACACTGTACCAATAAGAAATAAGGCAGGAATATGCAACAAATGCAAACAGTATTTTTGTAAACATGGTTTGCCGTAGCAGAAAGTACATTTTTAAGGTACTATGAGAAAGGCAAACTACTACTCGCCAGCTGAACTTTACCTTGCCTTTAATGCTAGTATACCAATGAATGTGAACACTCCATTCTCATGGAATTGTTTTCTAAATAAAGGTTTCTCTGTGAAGGACTTTGGGGAGCAATGTGTTAAACTTTCCACACAAAGTTCTCAGTATTTACTGAGCAAAGCAGATCTGTGAGCGGTGAGGATCTTATGAGACTCCGTTGTGTATCTGAGACTTGATAAAGGTACAACAACAGAACCACAATTACTGACAGAAATGGGCCACAGAGACAAAAACAGTGGGAAAAGCTTCTCTGTAGTGAGTGCGTTTGACATACAAACGTATGAAATTAACTAATATAAATATATATGGTGGGGATTTTTTTTTTTTGTGTCTGATTACATCAATCAGTTCCACAGGGACAATTCGTTTCTATTTAGAAATCTCTTAACCGTTTCCTGGTGTCTGACCGGCCACATATTAGACATTTAATTGTATTCCAGCAGTAACCAAACTGGGGTCAAAGGGATCTCCAGTTTTTACTGAACAGCTGCTTCTGTCATAACTTGTGAGATGCTTTAATCCCATATTTAAGTTTTTCTCATATATTTATTTTCTAATATAATCTAAAAATGTATTTCCTTTTGTAGAAACTCAACTCTTCTGTTTTGTCCAGAGCCAATGTGTGTTGTGAAAAATGGCCGTGAGGTAAAGTTGATGTCAGACGTTACAGCAAGTTTGAAACTTTTCAAAACGCTGCTGTCTAAGCAGCCGGAGGCTGAATGTTGAGTTTTAGGTTGTTTTTTTTCCTTTTGCATGTTGTACATGCAATGTACAGAGAAGTGGACATTTTTTACCTTCTACCTGCCAATGACAGTCCATGGGCCTGTGCAGCCAGGAGGCTGCATATAGATTTCAAAGCATTTCTATTAACACGTTCAGATACTGCGCAGTCCACATTCAGTCTGAACTACTGCCCGGGCGTACCTCATTAGTGCTGAACTACCCTGCTGCTCCTCCACACGACATCAATTCTCACCATTAAAATCCTCTTGGCATCCTAAATGAAAAAAAAAATATCCTAAAAAAAACATCAATCCTCACATAGCACACCCCCATGCTACTTCTTTTGGGTCACAGAGCCAGCTGAGTAACGCGCAGCATGGCGCTCCTACGTATCTGCCATGTAGATTCTTCATTGTTGCTAGAGATTATCACCCACCTCTCATCAAAACCGAGTGAAGTCTCCCACTGGCGAGTGGACCAGAGCACACCATCTGCTGCTCTGGCACAGAGCGTCCGCTATGTTCTGCCGGTGACAATCTGCTCTAGCATTCAGAGAGAGAAGTATTTAAAACAACAGTTATCCACCATCCATGTCGCTTTATGAAGCGTTCATCGAAAAAATAATCTGATTTAAATACCAAAGCTAGCTGGCATTGTTTAATTACTTTAGCTCATTTAAAGCCTGACGGGTTATTTGGCAGCCAAATCACTCAGATTAACATGAACACTCGTCTGTGAAGATTTCAGGCTTCCACATGTCACTCAGACGCTGAGTTACAAAATGCAACGGACAGATAATTGAACAAAAAACCTTTTAATAGTTCTGAATCTTTTTCGAGCTGACAAATTCACAGTCATTTCTTCACCCCTTTAAGCTCCGTCTCCCAAGTGACAAAGCAATACACGCTGGAGGGAAAAATGTCCTGGATATGGTGCTGCCATGTTCCCATTCTCTAAATCACCCTGAAAACACTGACATTTCATTCAGGTCCCACAGGACAAGGTGCTAGACAGAAATGATGAGAAAAATGGGACGGATATATACTTCCTTATTTATAGGGAGCTAACTATCCTGCTTTCCTCCTCCTTTGAAAAACCCACAGCTATGCTGTGAGGTGTCTCATCCCAGAGAAAGATCCTCTTAAGCCACTTGTGTACTCAAAAATTCTTTTTTCCCCGGGTGAGAGAAGGATGTTTAAAAATGCATGCCTGTACCAGGTGGAAATGTCAAGGCTAAGAGCAGTCTGTTGTCCCCCACTACAAATGGAGGCCATCAGTGGGCTTCTGTGGGTTTCTTCTCAGCAGGGTTGCTGAGTTCCACTGCTTGACGGGTCCATAAATGTATCCACGGCCTTCTTTTGATTCCGAGCGAGGTGTTTGCATCTGAGCTCCTCTCTGTACTCGTAGGTGAGGAGTTCGGGCTCTCGGGCGCAGAGAAGAGCATAGGCATCTGCCAGGGCCCTGAAATGAGGTATGGTGAGTTCTGTGGGGCGTAGAATGGGGTCCACTTCGGCTCTTTGCATCATCTCCTGTGTCAGCTCCATGCGGCGCGCCTCAGGGAACAGCTTTCTGGGGTTTGAGATGTGAGAAGATAAGATGATACCGATTTCAACATTCAGGTTGCTTTGATATCTTAAGGATCATGCAAGTTTAATAGCATGAGAAAGTTCAAACAGAAGGAAATTATCCCTCAGCAATTATTTCAATTCTGTGAAGTTAATTGAAATCACACAATGAGCGGCTCATGAATTGTTAATTTACTCCACTGAAATGTTATGTAGTCAGTGGATGTCAGAAAACGCACAATGAAGTCTTTTAGAATAAAAAGCTGTGATTAAAATTTTAAAGTTTTACTCATTTTGCAGAGTTTGAGCCTGAAGAAGTCTCACATTCTATTAAAACAAAGACAGCCCCCTCCTTTCCCTGTCTAAGACGTTCATCTGCATGCTGTTGCAGTGAGTCTGGGAGCATTAGCCCCTTCTGCAGAGCCGACACCTTTTTGGGGCTTCGCTGCCGATGCTTCCTCACCAATTTGCCGCGGCTGCCGCCGCCGACCCGCTGCTGTTACATAAAATATGCTGCCTCGTCTTCCTGTGCCACCTCAGTGACTCATAATTGCTGCTCTCTTTCACACAGCCAGTGTTCCTTTTGTTAATCGGGCCCACATGCACTTCCCCAACAAGCGTGGGGGCGATGGGCAGCGTGCACATGCATGTGTGGGTTGGTTGCTAGTGGTTATGAATACAGCTCTGAAGTTACTTCCCTGTTAGAGGTTTGGTTACTAAAAGACTGATAAGCTCCATCTTCACATGTTAGGGAGGCACGTGTTTGTGTGTGTGTGTGTGTGTGTGTGTGTGTGTGTGTGTGTGTGTGTGTGGGGGGGGGGGGGGGGGTGGGGGGGCTCTAACTCATGATGAAACAAGATGTCAGAGAGCAGGGTGAAAAATGTGAAGATGAGGCTGGGTCAAGATTACAAAGTAAAAGTCAGACTGAGGATGAAGGCCTACTTACTCTACTCCTTTATGGCAGTACTTCCTGCGGAACTGGAAAACGTTCCTGACGACTTTCTCCACCAACTTGAAGGGCTGTTCAATCTGGGGCCGGACCAGGGGGGTGAAATGAACGACTCCCACGTCCACCTGAACACACAGAGAGCGAGAGGAAATCCAGACAGCAGGGAGATTAGCGGGGGGTGGAAAAAAAACGGATAAAAATAGTGGCCTAATGGCACCAGCAGGTGTGGTGAGGGTGGAGAATGCAGCGAGTGGAAAAGAATGCTGGAGAGAAAGCTGGCCTGACAAATGGCTAGCGGGGTACAAAGCCGTAAAAAGAGAGGGATCAACACGCGGTGCTAAAACAAAAAGCGCAGGCAGAAAATAAGATGACGCAGCATGGCTGGCTGGCGGGCTGGTTCCAGTTGCCACAGTAACACCTGTGTGATGGACCATAGAAACCGCGCTCCTCTGTGTCCCTGCATCACCAGTGGGTTTCTAAATACCCACAAGCTTCACTGGATGGCTTCCTCCCTCCCCCCTCTCTGTCTGCACGGCACAGCCATTTGCGCCGAGTGTGAGA